CTCTTCACCCTCTCGACGAGATCAGCTTCGAGGACAGAGGCATCCACAAGTCCGCTCTGGGTGTATTGGCATGATCTCCGATACAGCAGGTTGCGAACATTTTCATCATACTGAAGAACCATACTTAGAAAGCTATTTGAAGTATACAAACCTCTCGCTTGCAGCTTCCTTGGCGCCCTGGCAGCTTCCCCTACACCACGCGTGCAGCCATGGTGCCTGAAATAACCGGCGCTGCCTGAAATAACCGGCGCTGCCTGAAATAACCGGCGCTGCCTGAAATAACCGGCGCTGCCTGAAATAACCGGCGCTGCCTGAAATAACCGGCGCTGCCTGAAATAACCGGCGCTGCCTGAAATAACCGGCGCTGCCTGAAATAACCGGCGCTCCTAAACCCTAAACCCTAAACCCTAAACCCTAAACCCTAAACCCTAAACCCTAAACCCTAAACCCTCCCTCCCTCGCTAAATCCATCGCCCCCTTCCTCGCACACACAAAACACACTCCCTCCCTCCCTATCACCCTATCTCCTCTCCTTTCTTCATATATCTCTGCCCCCCTCCCTCCTCCCTTCCTGCCTCTTTCGGTCCCTCCCCCTGTCCCTCCCCTCCCTCCCTCGCTATAGCACGAATACCAACAGCCTTCTAGCAAATCTTTGAAAGTTGTTTTATTGACTGAAAAAGAAGGGCAAACCGGAGCAAACCAAGGAGGGGGAGGATAAGGCCTACAAACCCGCCTCAATAAAATACTAGGAAACGAAGGAGGCAGCGAAAACCGGACAGACCTTGTTGGAGTGCACAGCATATAGCACTATTAGTTTTAAAGATATTGGTTAAATTTTCAATACAAATATTGGTACCAGGGACACACTTCAGGAAAGTACACTGAAAATAACCATGACTCGGAGTGTTTTCCAGACGTGGTACAAATGAGTACTAGGTGTGTCCTGTACGGTATTTTTCATGGTACAAATTTCACCGACAGTTCGTTGAATTTCACTACAACCGTTTTCAACGGTAAACGTACGGTACAGACAGTAGCCTACCGCCGACAGTTCAGATCAGGATGAAGAAAGTCCGAACTCGTTGCCTCAGGGCCTGCTGAGGCGGTGCCATATGTCTCAACCTTCTCGGAGTCCGTGCGTCACTGGCTCCATCCAGTCCGAAATTGCGCCGGGCTTCCGAGCGAGGGCCGAAGTTCTTGTCACACGTAGACGGTACTGAAGCTGGCACTGGCCAGTGAGTCAGAGTTACTAGGTTACCGTACATAGCACTGCAGCCTTAGGCCGGCGGCCCGGCGGGCCGCGGATGCCGGGCGCGTCACGCCACGGCGTAAACTTGAACATCCGGTGGCATCGGATGATCCGAGTCACAGAGTCACTCGGATCCGATCAACTGGCGCCGGCCGCCCTGGCGGCTTCCGAAGTTCCCCTACCGTACTACACCGTGCTGGCGAGGAGCCATGCTGCCGAAAATAACGGCGCCTGGCGCCTGCCGAAAATAACGGCGCCTCCTAAACCCTAAACCCTAGGCTCCCCCTCCCCCAGGCTCCGGGCCCACCGCGGCCGGCTTACCTGCCCTTCAAGCCTGAGGCTTACCTTCGTTGCTTGCCCCGTGCCCACCTGCTTTCAAGTTTATTTCTTCGAGTCCTTCCCCCCTTGGGGCCCACATTTCCGCTCCGCCTCTTGTCCACCTTTAAGACTTGCCTCGAGCTTCAAGCGCGAGAGAGGCCTGTGCCAGCCTCCTCCTCCACGCCCTCGCCCTCCTCAGCCTCCATTTCGACTTCATCTCTCATCGTCAGCCGCAGTCGGTCTTGCTTGTCGACCTTGCCCGTGAGGCTTACAGATCGACTCTCGATGTCATCGCTCTCAGCCTCCAAGGCGCTGCCCCTCCTCGCTGCCTGCATGACCTTCTTGTTCCCTTGCACCCGTGTCCATTGCATCTCCCCGAGGTACGCTCTGAGCTTTTCTTTCAACGGCGTGGCTGCCCAAGCTCCGAGCGTCATGAACTCCACGTTGCCAGCTTGCCAACACTCTTGTCTAGCTCCAGGGAGATCGGCTTGCCAGCTAGCAGCTCCTCCTCTGATCAGTGTCTCCAAGAGCATCGACGAGAGGTCGACCAAGACCTGTTGATCGACTGGCCCTGACGGCGACGCTGCTTCCATGGTGATCCTGTCGATGTCGCTGAGCTCCAGCCATCCAGCGCCTTGCTGATGCCCTTGGGGGTCCTGAGCTTGCTCCTCGCTCTCCTCTTCCTCCTGAGAGCTGACAGTGGGGACCCCTTCCAAGTCGCCAGGGAGAGAGCTATCAGGCTCCCATCCCAGCTCAGCGTGTCACCGTGAATCTTCCTCGACCTCGACGCTGACCAGCTTGAGGTTTGTGTTACCTCCTCCGCACAGCCGCGGCTTCCATCTCCTTCCTCGAGAAGCGGCCTCAGTGCTCATGCTTGACCTCGACTTGATCTGTCACGTGACTCTAAAGCTGCTGCGCCCCGCATGATCTCTCACGTCTCTCTGAGCTTGGCGTCGTCGCTGATGAGAGTGAGATGCACCCCCTCCATCGCCTCGCTCCGAGTCTCTGAACGAGAGCTCCCGTGCTTGCCCCAATAGCCACATACGTCTTCGGGCTCGGCCCCTTGCAACCTCGGAGGCTGCCCAGGACTCGGCCCGTCGGACCCTGCACGAGCATGCCAGCAAGCGGTTGTACCTCTGCAGCTGAAATCGATAGAGAGTCTGAGCGATCTCGGCCGTCGACATTCCTCCAAGAGCTAAGAGCTGCGATACTAAGCTCGGCAGCCATGCCATGATGGCTTCTTCATTCCTAAGGAAGGAGACGGTGACTGAGATGTCGTCTGCTCGTGCTACTAGCCTCAGGTCTGTAAGGTGCTTTCCACATGATGGCCTTGTCGACTCCATCGACTGAGTCTACCATGAGACCCAGCTCCATAAGCTTCAATTTCAACTTTTCTTGGAGATGAAGGAGGTCCCCTCGGTGCAAGTCAGTTCAGTGCCGATGTATGCCTCGACATTCTGCTTCTTGCATGCTCTCGACTCTGAGCTCCATTCGCTCAGAGAGTCTTCAAACAGGTCGCGTCTCGCCTGCCGACATGTCGAGCGGATGGCTTCAGCGATAGCGTCGGGAGTGCATCCATGATCCCCCCTCAGCTCTGCAAGCATGAGCTGTCCTACTAGGCTACCAGGATACCGCTTCGCGAAGCTCTTCACCCTCTCGACGAGGTTGGCGGCCTCCTCGACGTGGCCTCCAGAGCGCTCGCCCTGCGTGTATTGGCATGATCTCCGATAGGCAAACAAGTAACGGAAGCTCGACCATCTTCTTGCGCCACTTGGCAAAGACTCTGGGGTGACCCGCATCAATCACGATCTTGTTCGTACGCATCCATTCCCATGAGAGGATCATGTCCGCATGCGGCAAGTCAAGCATGTAGAACGACCCACTACTCTTGAAACTGGAGCCTACGCCCAATTTTGTCTGGAAAACCATATCAGACAACCTACTAGTCCCATCGGCCATGATAACTCGTTTGCGAACTTCTGCATCCGTGACCACTGGACAGACCAAATTTGCGCACTGCCTTCGTGCTGATAAACGACTCTTCAGCAGCGGTATCGAGCAATGCATTAAGAACTATGGATTGATTCCCGAACCGAAAGGTCACAGGTACCATAGGTAGAGCTTTGATCCTGTGAGAGTCAACGGTGATACGACATTGACGAACATCCCTAGGATCTTCTGGCGGAGGTGTGCCCGGGTCGAAGACAACATTCGAAGTCTGCAAACCCGTGCCCCCGTCGATTGCGCCCTCCGCGGCAACCGACGTCACTGGTTTAAAGCTGACGGTTGTTCAGACCTCGACAAGAGAGGGCACTTGTCTCTGAAGTGACCGAACTTCTGACAGTTGTAGCACTTCACCTTCTTCTTGTCGAACTTCTTCTCCTTGCCCTGCATGTCCTCGCTCTGAGTGGGAGCCGACCGCTTGCCCTCATGACGAGGTTGTGCTTGGGTGAAATGAAGACTCGTATGACCGTCTTGTGGTTGTCTCTGACGCAGATTAAGAGCTTCGCGATACAACTGCGGCAAATACTTGCCCATCTCCGACGGCTCCGCATGATAAGTAATCCCAAACGTCTTACCATCGCGTTCCATCAGCATGCTCAATTCCTTCCGTAGCATGGCACGCGCATAGTCCATTTGAATCCTGCGTTCCCAGCTACCTAGCGCAACACTAGGTCTCTTGGACACAAGGTAGCACGCCTGCAGGTGTGTAACCATCGCCTGGAATCTTGCGGTGTACGCCTCGACGGACTCCTTGGGCCCTTGCCTAGCCTGCTTCTGCACATGACGCTCAAGTTTCTCAATAAACTCGAACGGTAACCATTTCAACAACAGTTTCTCCACAAACTGTTCCCAATCACCATGCTCAGCTGAGAACTGATCTTGCTCGGCCATCGGGAGTGTAGCCCACCATAGCTGCACCTCCGGCCCGAACGCACTCGGATATGGCCGCTCCTACCCATCGATGGCGTGCTATACGGTGAAGTTTACACCTGCCTTCGATATATCCGAGCCATGAGACCACCGACCTCTCCATGGTCTGCTCACCATTGTACTGCAACAATGACTTCGGATCCAGCTTGCAAATCTGACCACCGTCATTCTCCGCATGCTTAAGCTTGTGAGGCTTGTCCTCGGGTTCCCGAACCCGCTCACAAAGCAGTACACGCATCTCCGCTGCCTCCTTGGCAAGCCTACGGTTCTCTCGCTGGGATTCCTCAAGTGCCCTCACAAGATCCTGGAGTTTGCGATCAGCTTCTCTCTGGGATTCTGCGAGTGCATTTACGAGATTGTGCATCTTATCCATGTTGTTCTGTTCCACAGACCTGAGCTCTCTACATGTCCGGCGTAGGTGCTCGTTTTCCTCCACGATGTCACGAAAACTGGCTTTCAAGGGAAGGGCGGGACCATCTCTTTCGTTTTCATCCCTACTCTCCAACCATGAAGGCACTGTACGACCACTGTCAACACTATCGTCACGTACAACAGCCTCCTGCTGGATGACAGTTTCCGACGGATCGTACGCATGTGACTGCGGCGACATGCCTGTCACCGTAGGAAAGCGCGGCTCTGCTGACCCATTCAATGTCTCCTTCACAAAGCTGCCCAACCGCGACATGCTTCGACTCATGAAGTCCGAGACAACGCTACCTGACTGAATGCTCGTCCTATCCATGTTTTCTTGAACAACTTCTTTCAACACAACAACTCCGAGAGGAAAACCAACCTTCGCTACCAAAATGTTAGGAAAACTTCCTACAAGTATCTCTCGATCCAGCGTTGACACACGAAGTGATCCCGTCAAGAAACCAAAGAACAAGCGCGCGACAGCAATGCACAATTCAACGGCAATTTACTCCAAATCAACGTTAGAGATAAAGAAAAGTAAGTAATCTAATTTCCTAAGAAACGAGACTGCCTAGGACACCTACTTAAGAAAGACAGGAAGTCAGTAAACATATCCTATCAAAGCGCAAGAACCTAGTGCATTGCACCAATGCGGTATCCGTGCCGTTGGCAATCACTGTGATGATCACCATAATCACATGGCTCCTCTTCCGCGATTCCATCCCCCACACGGTAAATAAGGCAGAATGGCTCAACTTCACCAACGCACTGGTCTCCCACAACGACCAGCGCTTCACCTTCCGCAGGATGACGATCCTGACCATCTTCCACTTCGCACAGGCATGGTTTGGAGTCCCTTTCATGAGTGTGACCAAGGTACTCTATGGCTTCTGGTTCGGACTGCAGATTGGGTTTTTCGCGTGTCTACTCGTAGACTTTGTCGCCGTCACACCGATCATCCTCTACTTTACCCCATCCACACAAGATAAATTCACACAGGAGACGATACGCAACATGAGAGCCAACGGCACATTCTGGCCCAATCTGTTGTTGTTCCAGGCGAGCTCACTCTCTGTATTCATAAGGCTATGGGTGGTTCTCGGTGCAGGTGTGTCACGAAAGGACTTCCTATTGAGCTATTGGGTAACCACTGGGTTCTTCACAATATTGTCGGTCTTGATCGGGGACTTGATATTTCGGGCCTCACAATACCTCATATTCTTGTCTACTGAAACTGTTCTCCTCGCCATTCTCCCTATCCTAACAACGATATATTTCACACACATGATATTCACAGATGTTAATCTCTGGCAGGAGAGCGAGGACGAGGACGATGGGATATTCCGGATAACTGATGAGCTCAGTCTAGATAGCGACAGGCAAGTATTATGTATGAAATATTTAAGTCAGGGCACACTCAAGAAGCAATGCAATGGATAAACCTGAACATGTTCCGGAGTTTATCTTGAATCCTCTCTTGAGCGAAGATCAATGTCCATCCTGGCATTCTGAAGCTTTGCAGTTGATCATAAGACTGGATCGGACGGGCTTTTGCAACGACAACAAGTACTTTCGTCTCGATGCATCCTACCTACAAAGAGACGGAGAGCTTCTTCTCTACTGCCGGGAAGCTTTCAAGAATCAGCATTGTTTCCTGAGGGAGAAGGTGGTGGAGAAGCAGGCTCTGGGCTGGATCCAAGGCCCGCCGGGAACGGGGAAGACGACCGTCGACGACGCTAGTCTTCTAGGGTTTAGGGTTTAGGGTTTAGGGTTTAGGGTTTAGGGTTTAGGGTTTAGAGGCTGGGAGAGCTTTGCTAAGGCATGGAGAAAATTACCCCAAGTAGGCTATCACTACCTAACAAGTATCTTACCTGTTCCAGATACCGAAGGCATCTCCCTGCACCTACCCATTCGACTCTGGCCATTCCCAAAGCAACGGGAACAGGCAGAAGAAATCCTTGCACGATATCTGCAAGTGAACGTCATCTGGGCAAAACTCGGTCAAGAGCAGGCAGCAACAGGGAAGAGAAGAAAGCCAGCCAGAGAGGAAGGGAAGCCCTCAAACAAGAGAAGGAAAGGAAAAAGGGAGGCTAGCCCACACGAGCTCCTGCCACCCACGAAACTAGCCAGACCGGACCAAGGGATCGGTAATCTGCACGGCCATGTACACGGGGCTGAATGTGGTCTGAAGAAGACCTCCACGGAGATTTACGGTATCGTCCATGAAGTAGTTCATATCCTCCAGTGACTGCATCTGACTCGATCCAAGCAATCGGTGGCACATGGGATCCGGTGCTCTGTCTCACTGAAAGGATAAGTTTTTCTTCTCCAAGCTGCGTCAGACGTGCTCCAAGCTGCGTCAGACGTGCTCCAAGCTGCTCGTGTCTCCTGACAAGGGCAGCCTTCATCGTGGGATCCTGTTCATGTCTGATCTGATCCACTACCTCCTGGATGTTTTGTTCCACAAGCTGCATCTTTCCTTCTACCCCCCTTATTTTAGCTTCTACATGCTCGATCTTTTCTTCTACCCCCTTGATATCTGTTCCTACAGGCTTGACATATCCTTCTCCTTCCTGCTCGGCAGACTGGTTACTGACATTCATCCCAGAGTAGCACACTGGTGACCCGGCGCCTCTTGCTCGCCTCGTTGTTCCCTTCCGGCGATGACTCGCATATCTCCCCCCCTCCCGAGATATCACCTCGTCCTCCCTCCCTAGCGCCCATAGCCCTCGCCCCTCGCCCTCTTGCTTCTCTCTGCGGGCTGCGCATCTTGACCTCAGCAAGCGGGTCCTTGTCAGCCTTGCCGACCTGCTCTGCCATACAGCGCACCGAGCAGTACCCACGGATATACGGCACTCGGTAGGGGTCATCAGTGGGGGTACTAAAGAAAAACCTTTCACCAATGGTGCGCCGCGAGGGTCGACGGAGAAGTGTGGACTTGAAGCTGGGCAGCGACATGTATGTTACAAGTAAAGGAGCGAAGAATGTTCGTATGATCAGAACGTGTAAGAAGACTAAAAGCTTACAGATCCATAGCTTACAGATCCTTACCACGTTGAAGCACTGTCGAGCTAGGCCACCTTGCAAGCTGACGTGCTTGATGCTTTGACTCTTCACGTCCCTCATGCGTCATGGTTGATGGCTTTCATCGCTGACATGATCATGGCATGTGCATGAGCTGCTTGTTGCTAGACTTCAGACATGGCAGATTGCGATGGCGACGGGATGCAGCAGACATTCATGAGTCTCGCTTGGTTCTCGTATGATTCAAGGAGGAGACCCATGTGACCTGTAAGCTACATGATCTCACTCTGCCCTCTTTAGGCCCACATCTGATCTTGAGGGGCAGATGGAGAGATGGAGACAGATGGTTGCAGTGTTGGATGATGACATTCAATGTTGTGGTCGTCAATCGCTCTCTGAAGGAACTGTGTGCCAGGAGGCACCAGGCACGATGAGAGTGCAAATCTGACGCAATAAAGGGCTATCAGAATGAAGCCTGGTACTCACGTTTGAAACTGACTTCCTGGATTACCCAGGGCGCTCAATCTAAGCTCAATCATTCTGCTGGAAAGGACTGCTGGAAAGGACGGGTCTTGTGAAACAAACTGGCAGGGGCTGAATATCCGTGCTGGGTTACAAACGAAGAACGGGCGAGCCTGGAGTACAAGCAGCCTCCTCGTGTGCGTCAAAGCATTGAGTACAAGCAGCCTCCTCGTGTGCGTCAAAGCATTGAGTACAAGCAGCCTCCTCGTGTGCGTCAAAGCATTGAGTACAAGCAGCCTCCTCGTGTGCGTCGCAGGATGGAGTACAAGCAGCCTCCTCGTGTGCGTCGCAGGATGGAGTACAAGCAGCCTCCTCGTGTGCGTCGCAGGATGGAGTACAAGCAGCCTCCTCGTGTGCGTCAAAGGATGGAGTACAAGCAGCCTCCTCGTGTGCGTCGCAGGATTGAGTACAAGCAGCCTCCTCGTGTGCGTCGCAGGATGGAGTACAAGCAGCCTCCTCGTGTGCGTCGCAGGATGGAGCACAAGCAGCCTCCTCGTGTGCGTCGCAGGAATGAGTACAAGCAGCCTCCTCGTGTGCGTCGGAGGACGGGGCTCTCCTCCCGACTGGGTCTGCAAGCGATTCAGCTATGGCTTGCGCTTGCACATGACTGCTCTGCCAACCGTGTGGTGACTCAAATCAATGGGTAACGCTTCAGAGCTCGGCGAACTTCCTTGACAGTGACTTTCGCCTGCTTCAGGACGAATACCAAGTACCATGATGGCGGCATGGCGGCGGTACTGGGGCCGACAATCGTCAGGTCTACTCCGCGCAGGTTGATCGTTCATTCTCCGGGGCCCGGCGCGGCGTAAGCACTGAGCGTAAGTCCGGTATTCCTGGCAAGGAACTTCGGAACTTCGGAACAAGCCTGAACTTGGGCTCCAAAGAGGCTCGTGGCAGGCTCGGCAGGAGTCCCGGCCAAGAGCGGTGGAGACTCCTCCTCTCGAAGAACGTCGACCAGCACCGTACAAGAGACTCAGGGAGAGAATCGGGCTAGCCATGATGAGCTTATTGAGTCATGGTACGGTACCGGGTAGCCTGGAGAGGATGGCCCGGGATACTCAATACTATGAGTAATCATTCAGTCCTGTACGGTGCTTGCCGCACAACTTCAAAGTACCGGTTCAACGGCCCTTCAACAGTGCCCGGCCGCGGCCGCGCGAGTCACCCGGGCCGTGGCCGCGGGCAGTGACCCCGCCGCTGAGTACCGGCGTACGGCGGTAGTACCGGCCGCCCGGCGCGGCGCGGCCCCGGCCCGGTTGCCTCCCGGCGAGTCCCCGGTTCCGACCGGCCCGGTGCGAGCGGCGGAGCGCGGCCGGCCCGCCGCGAGGCGCCCATCGCACACTGAGCCGTCGGCCCCCGGTGCGAGCCTGTGCCGGCGCCTTCCGAAGTTCGAGAGTGACCGTGCGGCGCGGCTGCCGCACACGGTGACCGGGTGCCGCTGGCCCGGTCAGTGCGGTCCGGGCCGTCTCGGCGGGCCGAGTCGGCGCCGTCCGTCATCATCCGAACTTCGCCGGAACTTGACCGTACTTCAATAATGCCACGCGGTCGGTCGGACTCCTGAGACTCAGTGACTCTTGCCAGTCCCGCCGCGAGGCTCTGAGCGGCTCGCCGCCCGGCGCTAGCCAGTGACCGGGTGGTTGAACGGCCCGCGGCCGGCCCGCGGGGCTCGCCCGGCGGCAAGGCCGCCTCCGAGGCTCCCGGCGCCGCCGCCGCTCCGACCGACTCACAGAGTCCCACTGGCACTGCCGGCCGAGTCACGGTCACCGGTCCGATCGAGGACTCCAGAGTGCCGGGCCCGCCGGGCCCGGGCGGGGACAGTCACCGGGCCGCCCGCCGCCGGGGCGGGGCCCCGGCGCCCGGCCGGGGGGGCATGCCGGGGCCGGGTCCGTCACCGTGACCCGGCGCTTCAGGAAGCAGTACGGTGAGTGAGAGTCAACCGCTGCGGCTCACTGCGTTGCAAACTTGCCCGGAGTCCGGGTCCGAGTCAGGGCCGCCGGTCCGCGGCTCCACTGTGACTTCGGCCGGAACCGTCTTCGGAACTTGCGGAGTGCCGCAGTCACTGAGTGCCTTGAAGGCTTCCGGGCAAGTTGAACGCCGGATGCTGGCAGCCTGTCGCCATACTGACACATGATTGGCGACTAACGGAGTTTAAGACTACGGTAAAGTCACTGCCAGAGTGCAGCAGGGATTTCGATGCCGCGTAATTTAATGTTCGCCCAAGCCTGCGTGAGAGCTGCGACTCCTTGACGGGAACTTCAGTGAAGCGGCAGTCTGAGCCCCGCTCTCCCTTGCTAATGCCGGTGAGCTCACACGACATCAATACCCGCTACCTCTGCCTGCCTCCCTTCCTGCCCTCGCTTCCATCCGTACTCCTCCAGCGCACCGCTGCCCGTGATTTGGCCTATCCGAAAGGCCTCGAGACTTTCTCGCGGCACCATGAACACCACCCTCACCTTCCATCCAGCTGCTGGGATGCCAAGCCCCGTGAGAGCCTCTGCGAAGAAAGCCAGCTTGAAAGCGTGGACGTTTGCCTCTGTCACCTGCACAAACTCTACTAACTTCCCGCGAGGCTCTACTATGATAGCGTCGTAGCCTCCTTGAAAGGGGTTGACGGGCTTCAAGCAAGTTCTCTCTGCAGGAAGCGTTTGCATGCCTCCCTTTGCATCAAAGGTGATGACTGGACATCCCTCCCATTGCGTGAGCTCTTGAGATCCCCGATACCTCAGGCTCAGCCCGTACTTGATCTTCTTGAAAAAGAAAAGCTCGAAAAGATGGCCCCTTGTAGTCGGATTGCTTGCCCCATACTTTGAGAAAAGCCTCGTCAACGTGTCTAGTTCTACCGCTTCTGCAAGCTTCGTCGCGACATACTTGCTCACAGGCATCCAGATCGATGCCCCGTTGTACTCGAAGCACGCAATCAAGCGGTTTACAGTCTGCGGTGATGAGTCGCCTATGTTGCCATCGAAAATGATTTCTAGGTTTGGACAGAATCTCAAAGCCGTATCCAGCCTCTGTTTCACCAATGATGCGGGCGTCTCGAACATGTACCGACATGAGCCGCCAGCCAGGTAGTATTTCAGCTTGATCTTCTCTCGTTCAGACCTGTTCCTCTTCCATGTCTTCAAGCCCATGCTCGCCGCACTTTCATCCTCCTCCAGCATGCATGCTACACCCTGATAGAAATCGTCCCACTCCACTGCTTCCAGGTACTCACTCTCCGTCCAAGATACAACGGTGTGCTCTTGGAGATTCACCCGATTGTCAGCTTCATCGTTTGTCTTTCCTCGAGAGGACATCGATGTCGCTACTACAACCCGTCGATTCTCTCGATCAGCTAGCAGCCATTTCCTACATGCGTCCAAGAAGTCTACGTGATGTGATTCATGCCTCAAGAACCCGTCCAGGACCACAAAACCCTTCTTGTAGTCCTGCCATTCTTCCAGCATTCTGTTGATTCCTACCCACGAGGAGCGCTTTGGAATGCTGCACGATCTCCTCTTATCGCCGAGGATTTGGATGCAATCAGCGTCGTCGGATGCATTCAGCCTGATGAGCGTTACGCTCCATTCCCTCATGTCAAGAGATAAGCAGAAGGCTAGCGTCGTCGTCGTCTTCCCCGTTCCCGGCGGGCCTTGGATCCAGCCCAGAGCCTGCTTCTCCACCACCTTCTCCCTCAGGAAACAATGCTGATTCTTGAAAGCTTCCCGGCAGTAGAGAAGAAGCTCTCCGTCTCTTTGTAGGTAGGATGCATCGAGACGAAAGTACTTGTTGTCGTTGCAAAAGCCCGTCCGATCCAGTCTTGCATCTGACTCGATCCAAGCAATCGGTGGCACATGGGATCCGGTGCTCTGTCTCAAAAGGATAAGTTTTTCTTCTCCAAGCTGCGTCAGACGTGCTCCAAGCTGCGTCAGACGTGCTCCAATCTGCTCGTGTCTCCTGACAAGGGCAGCCTTCATCGTGGGATCCTGTTCATGTCTGATCTGATCCAGTACCTCCTGGATGTTTTGTTCCACAAGCTGCATCTTTCCTTCTACCCCCCTTATTTTAGCTTCTACATGCTCGATCTTTTCTTCTACCCCCTTGATATCTGTTCCTACAGGCTTGACATATCCTTCTCCTTCCTGCTCGGCAGACTGGTTACTGACATTCATCCCAGAGTAGCACACCCGGCGCCTCTTGCTCGCCTCGTTGTTCCCTTCCGGCGATGACTCGCATATCTCCCCCCCTCCCGAGATATCACCTCGTCCTCCCTCCCTAGCGCCCATAGCCCTCGCCCCTCGCCCTCTTGCTTCTCTCTGCGGGCTGCGCATCTTGACCTCAGCAAGCGGGTCCTTGTCAGCCTTGCCGACCTGCTCTGCCATACAGCGCACCGAGCAGTACCCACGGATATACGGCACTCGGTAGGGGTCATCAGTGGGGGTACTAAAGAAAAACCTTTCACCAATGGTGCGCCGCGAGGGTCGACGGAGAAGTGTGGACTTGAAGCTGGGCAGCGACATGTATGTTACAAGTAAAGGAGCGAAGAATGTTCGTATGATCAGAACGTGTAAGAAGACTAAAAGCTTACAGATCCATAGCTTACAGATCCTTACCACGTTGAAGCACTGTCGAGCTAGGCCACCTTGCAAGCTGACGTGCTTGATGCTTTGACTCTTCACGTCCCTCATGCGTCATGGTTGATGGCTTTCATCGCTGACATGATCATGGCATGTGCATGAGCTGCTTGTTGCTAGACTTCAGACATGGCAAATTGCGATGGCGACGGGATGCAGCAGACATTCATGAGTCTCGCTTGGTTCTCGTATGATTCAAGGAGGAGACCCATGTGACCTGTAAGCTACATGATCTCACTCTGCCCTCTTTAGGCCCACATCTGATCTTGAGGGGCAGATGGAGAGATGGAGACAGATGGTTGCAGTGTTGGATGATGACATTCAATGTTGTGGTCGTCAATCGTCTCCTTCAATGGTTGCTCACGCTCTCTGAAGGAACTGTGTGCCAGGAGGCACCAGGCACGATGAGAGTGCAAATCTGACGCAATAAAGGGCTATCAGAATGAAGCCTGGTACTCACGTTTGAAACTGACTTCCTGGGTTACCCAGGGCGCTCAATCTAAGCTCAATCATTCTGCTGGAAAGGACTGCTGGAAAGGACGGGTCTTGTGAAACAAACTGGCAGGGGCTGAATATCCGTGCTGGGTTACAAACGAAGAACGGGCGAGCCTGGAGTACAAGCAGCCTCCTCGTGTGCGTCAAAGCATTGAGTACAAGCAGCCTCCTCGTGTGCGTCAAAGCATTGAGTACAAGCAGCCTCCTCGTGTGCGTCAAAGCATTGAGTACAAGCAGCCTCCTCGTGTGCGTCGCAGGATGGAGTACAAGCAGCCTCCTCGTGTGCGTCGCAGGATGGAGTACAAGCAGCCTCCTCGTGTGCGTCGCAGGATGGAGTACAAGCAGCCTCCTCGTGTGCGTCGCAGGATTGAGTACAAGCAGCCTCCTCGTGTGCGTCGCAGGAATGAGTACAAGCAGCCTCCTCGTGTGCGTCGCAGGAATGAGTACAAGCAGCCTCCTCGTGTGCGTCGCAGGATGGAGTACAAGCAGCCTCCTCGTGTGCGTCGCAGGATGGAGTACAAGCAGCCTCCTCGTGTGCGTCGCAGGATTGAGTACAAGCAGCCTCCTCGTGTGCGTCGCAGGATTGAGTACAAGCGGCCTCCTCGTGTGCGTCGCAGGAATGAGTACAAGCAGCCTCCTCGTGTGCGTCGCAGGATGGAGTACAAGCAGCCTCCTCGTGTGCGTCGCAGGATTGAGTACAAGCAGCCTCCTCGTGTGCGTCGCAGGATGGAGTACAAGCAGCCTCCTCGTGTGCGTCGAAGGATGGAGTACAAGCAGCCTCCTCGTGTGCGTCGGAGGACGGGGCTCTCCTCCCGACTGGGTCTGCAAGCGATTCAGCTATGGCTTGCGCTTGCACATGACTGCTCTGCCAACGGTGGTGACTCAAATCAATGGGTAACGCTTCAGAGCTCGGCGAACTTCCCTTGACTTTCGCCTGCTTCAGGAGGCCACAGTGAAGATCGATAACAAAACGAATACCAAGTACCATGATGGCGGCATGGTGGTACTGGGGCCGACAATCGTCAGGTCTACTCCGCGCAGGTTGATCGTTCATTCTCCGGGGGCGGCGTAAGCACTGAGCGTAAGTCCGGTATTCCTGGCAAGGAACTTCGGAACTTCGGAACAAGCCTGAACTTGGGCTCCAAAGAGCCTCGTGGCAGGCTCGGCAGGAGTCCAAGAGCGGTGGAGACTCCTCCTCTCGAAGAACGTCGACCAGCACCGTACAAGAGACTCAGGGAGAGAATCGGGCTAGCCATGATGAGCTTATTGAGTCATGGTACGGTACCGGGTAGCCTGGAGAGGATGGCCCGGGATACTCAATACTATGAGTAATCATTCAGTCCTGTACGGTGCTTGCCGCACTGCACACCAGCCTGCGTGACGGTGGCAACCGTTCAAAGTACCGGTTCAACGGCCCTTCAACAGTGCCCGGCCGGCCGCGGCCGCGCGAGTCACCCGGGCCGTGGCCGCGGGCAGTGACCCCGCCGCTGAGTACCGGCGTACGGCGGTAGTACCGGCCGCCCGGCGCGGCGGCCCCGGCCCGGTTGCCTCCCGGCGAGTCCCCGGTTCCGACCGGCCCGGCGCAAGTCGGACCGGGCTGGCCCGGCGCGAGGCGCCCATCGCACACTGAGCCGTCGGCCCCCGGTGCGAGTGCCGGCGCCTTCCGAAGTTGGAGAGTGACCGTGCGGCGCGGCTGCCGCACACGGTGACCGGGTGCCGCTGGCCCGGTCAGTGCGGTCCGGGCCGTCTCGGCGGGCCGAGTCGGCGCCGTCCGTCATCATCCGAACTTCGCCGGAACTTGACCGTACTTCAATAATGCCACGCGGTCGGTCGGACTCCTGAGACTCAGTGACTCTTGGCAGTCCTAGCCAGCCTGTGACGGTGGTTGAACGGCCCGCGACCGGCCCGCCAAGCTCGCCCGGCGGCAAGGCCGCCTCCGAGGCTCGCCGCCGCCGCTCCGACCGTACCGACTCACAGAGTCACTGGCCGAGTCCGATCGAGGACTCTCAGAGTGCCGGGCCGGGCCCGCCGGCCCCGGCAATCTGGGGACACTGTAACGGGGCGGCCGGGGACACTGTAACCGGGCCGCCCGCCGCCGGGGCCGCGGGGCCCGGCGCCCGGCCGGGGGGGCATGCCGGGGCCGGGTCCGTCACCGTGACCCGGCGCTTCAGGAAGCAGTGAGTGAGAGTCAACCGCTGCGGCTCACTGCGTTGCAAACTTGCCCGGAGTCCGGGTCCGAGTCAGGGCCGCCGCGCCGGGCTTCGGAAGTTCGGGGGAGTCCCGGCCCGGGCCGCACACGGTCCGCGGCTCCACTGTGACTTCGGCCGGAACCGTCTTCGGAACTTGCGGAGTGCCGCAGTCACTGAGTGCCTTGAAGGCTTCCGGGCAAGTTGAACGCCGGACGCTGGCAGCCTGTCGCCATACTGACACATGATTGGCGACTAACGGAGTTTAAGACTACGGTAAAGTCACTGAGTGCAGCAGGGATTTCGATGCCGCGTAATTTAATGTTCGCCCAAGCCTGCGTGAAAGCTGCGACTCCTTGACGGGAACTTCAGTGAAGCGGCAGTCTGAGCCCCGCTCTCCCTTGCTAATGCCGGTGAGCTCACACGACATCAATACCCGCTACCTCTGCCTGCCTCCCTTCCTGCCCTCGCTTCCATCCGTACTCCTCCAGCGCACCGCTGCCCGTGATTTGGCCTATCCGAAAGGCCTCGAGACTTTCTCGCGGCACCATGAACACCACCCTCACCTTCCATCCAGCTGCTGGGATGCCAAGCCCCGTGAGAGCCTCTGCGAAGAAAGCCAGCTTGAAAGCGTGGACGTTTGCCTCTGTCACCTGCACAAACTCTACTAACTTCCCGCGAGGCTCTACTATGATAGCGTCGTAGCCTCCTTGAAAGGGGTTGACGGGCTTCAAGCAAGTTCTCTCTGCAGGAAGCGTTTGCATGCCTCCCTTTGCATCAAAGGTGATGACTGGACATCCCTCCCATTGCGTGAGCTCTTGAGATCCCCGATACCTCAGGCTCAGCCCGTACTTGATCTTCTTGAAAAAGAAAAGCTCGAAAAGATGGCCCCTTGTAGTCGGATTGCTTGCCCCATACTTTGAGAAAAGCCTCGTCAACGTGTCTAGTTCTACCGCTTCTGCAAGCTTCGTCGCGACATACTTGCTCACAGGCATCCAGATCGATGCCCCGTTGTACTCGAAGCACGCAATCAAGCGGTTTACAGTCTGCGGTGATGAGTCGCCTATGTTGCCATCGAAAATGATTTCTAGGTTTGGACAGAATCTCAAAGCCGTATCCAGCCTCTGTTTCACCAATGATGCGGGCGTCTCGAACATGTACCGACATGAGCCGCCAGCCAGGTAGTATTTCAGCTTGATCTTCTCTCGTTCAGACCTGTTCCTCTTCCATGTCTTCAAGCCCATGCTCGCCGCACTTTCATCCTCCTCCAGCATGCATGCTACACCCTGATAGAAATCGTCCCACTCCACTGCTTCCAGGTACTCACTCTCCGTCCAAGATACAACGGTGTGTTCTTGGAGATTCACCCGATTGTCAGCTTCATCGTTTGTCTTTCCTCGAGAGGACATCGATGTCGCTACTACAACCCGTCGATTCTCTCGATCAGCTAGCAGCCATTTCCTACATGCGTCCAAGAAGTCTACGTGATGTGATTCATGCCTCAAGATCCCGTCCAGGACCACAAAACCCTTCTTGTAGTCCTGCCATTCTTCCAGCATTCTGTTGATTCCTACCCACGAGGAGCGCTTTGGAATGCTGCACGATCTCCTCTTATCGCCGAGGATTTGGATGCAATCAGCGTCGTCGGATGCATTCAGCCTGATGAGCGTTACGCTCCATTCCCTCATGTCAAGAGATAAGCAGAAGGCTAGCGTCGTCGTCGTCTTCCCCGTTCCCGGCGGGCCTTGGATCCAGCCCAGAGCCTGCTTCTCCACCACCTTCTCCCTCAGGAAACAATGCTGATTCTTGAAAGCTTCCCGGCAGTAGAGAAGAAGCTCTCCGTCTCTTTGTAGGTAGGATGCATCGAGACGAAAGTACTTGTTGTCGTTGCAAAAGCCCGTCCGATCCAGTCTTGCATCTGACTCGATCCAAGCAATCGGTGGCACATGGGATCCGGTGCTCTGTCTCAAAAGGATAAGTTTTTCTTCTCCAAGCTGCATCTTATCGTCTCCAAGCTGCTTCTTATCATCTCCAAGCTGCTCGTGTCTCCTGACAAGGGCAGCCTTCATCGTGGGATCCTGTTCATGTCTGATCTGATCCAGTACCTCTTGGATGTTTTGTTCCACAAGCTGCATCTTTCCTTCTACCCCCCTTATTTTAGCTTCTACATGCTCGATCTTTTCTTCTACCCCCTTGATATCTGTTCCTACAGGCTTGACATATCCTTCTCCTTCCTGCTCGGCAGACTGGTTACTGACATTCATCCTAGAGTAGCACACCCGGCGCCTCTTGCTCGCCTCGTTGTTCCCTTCCGGCGATGACTCGCATATCTCCCCCCCTCCCGAGATATCACCTCGTCCTCCCTCCCTAGCGCCCATAGCCCTCGCCCCTCGCCCTCTTGCTTCTCTCTGCGGGCTGCGCATCTTGACCTCAGCAAGCGGGTCCTTGTCAGCCTTGCCGACCTGCTCTGCCATACAGCGCACCGAGCAGTACCCACGGATATACGGCACTCGGTAGGGGTCATCAGTGGGGGTACTAAAGAAAAACCTTTCACCAATGGTGCGCCGCGAGGGTCGACGGAGAAGTGTGGACTTGAAGCTGGGTAGCGACATGTATGTTACAAGTAAAGGAGCGAAGAATGTTCGTATGATCAGAACGTGTAAGAAGACTAAAAGCTTACAGATCCATAGCTTACAGATCCTTACCACGTTGAAGCACTGTCGAGCTAGGCCACCTTGCAAGCTGACGTGCTTGATGCTTTGACTCTTCACGTCCCTCATGCGTCATGGTTGATGGCTTTCATCGCTGACATGATCATGGCATGTGCATGAGCTGCTTGTTGCTAGACTTCAGACATGGCAGATTGCGATGGCGACGGGATGCAGCAGACATTCATGAGTCTCTCTTGGTTCTCATATGATTCAAGGAGGAGACCCATGTGACCTGTAAGCTACATGATCTCACTCTGCCCTCTTTAGGCCCACATCTGATCTTGAGGGGCAGATGGAGAGATGGAGACAGATGGTTGCAGTGTTGGATGATGACATTCAATGTTGTGGTCGTCAATCGTCTCCTTCAATGGTTGCTCACGCTCTCTGAAGGAACTGTGTGCCAGGAGGCACCAGGCACGATGAGAGTGCAAATCTGACGCAATAAAGGGCTATCAGAATGAAGCCTGGTACTCACGTTTGAAACTGACTTCCTGGGTTACCCAGGGCGCTCAATCTAAGCTGAATCATTCTGCTGGAAAGGACTGCTGGAAAGGACGGGTCTTGTGAAACAAACTGAGAGGGGCTGAATATCCGTGCTGGGTTACAAACGAAGAACGGGCGAGCCTGGAGTACAAGCAGCCTCCTCGTGTGCGTCGAAGGATGGAGTACAAGCAGCCTCCTCGTGTGCGTCAAAGGATGGAGTACAAGCAGCCTCCTCGTGTGCGTCAAAGGATGGAGTACAAGCAGCCTCCTCGTGTGCGTCGCAGGATGGAGTACAAGCAGCCTCCTCGTGTGCGTCGCAGGAATGAGTACAAGCAGCCTCCTCGTGTGCGTCGCAGGATGGAGTACAAGCAGCCTCCTCGTGTGCGTCGCAGGATGGAGTACAAGCAGCCTCCTCCTGTGCGTCGCAGGAAGGAGTACAAGCAGCCTCCTCGTGTGCGTCGCAGGATTGAGTACAAGCAGCCTCCTCGTGTGCGTCAAAGGATTGAGTACAAGCAGCCTCCTCGTGTGCGTCGCAGGATGGAGTACAAGCAGCCTCCTCGTGTGCGTCGCAGGATGGAGTACAAGCAGCCTCCTCGTGTGCGTCGCAGGATGGAGTACAAGCAGCCTCCTCGTGTGTGTCAAAGGATGGAGTACAAGCAGCCTCCTCGTGTGCGTCAAAGGATGGAGTACAAGCAGCCTCCTCGTGTCCGTCGCAGGATGGAGTACAAGCAGCCTCCTCGTGTGCGTCGCAGGATTGAGTACAAGCAGCCTCCTCGTGTGCGTCGCAGGATGGAGTACAAGCAGCCTCCTCGTGTGCGTCGCAGGATGGAGTACAAGCAGCCTCCTCGTGTGCGTCGCAGGATGGAGTACAAGCAGCCTCCTCGTGTGCGTCGCAGGATTGAGTACAAGCAGCCTCCTCGTGTGCGTCGCAGGATGGAGTACAAGCAGCCTCCTCGTGTGCGTCGCAGGAATGAGTACAAGCAGCCTCCTCGTGTGCGTCGGAGGACGGGGCTCTCCTCCCGACTGGGTCTGCAAGTGATTCAGCTATGGCTTGCGCTTGCACATGACTGCTCTGCCAACGGTGGTGACTCAAATCAATGGGTAACGCTTCAGAGCTCGGCGAACTTCCCTTGACTTTCGCCTGCTTCAGGAGGCCACAGTGAAGATCGATAACAAAACGAATACCAAGTACCATGATGGCGGCATGGTGGTACTGGGGCCGACAATCGTCAGGTCTACTCCGCGCAGGTTGATCGAGCGGCGAAGTTCATTCTCCGGGGGCGGCGTAAGCACGGAGGCTGAGCGTCACTTGAAGTCCGGTATTCCTGGCGCCATGATGAGCTAATAATGATTGAGTCACGGGCATGCCACGGTACGGTACCGGGTACTACCGTTGCTCACTGGAGTCCGACGGTCACGCTCTCTGAAGGAACTGAGGCGATGACTAAGGGAGAACCGGGACTCGGAATCACTACTGGCTAGTAGTACTGAGACTCCCGTTAGTATTAAGTTCAAGTACTATAGCACAGCCTTCCTCACATCCGACTGGCCCCCACGCCGGTGGCAGGAATACTGACGTGACCGTCGGAGGCTATCATAGTACTAACCGTTGAACGGTCATGACACTCAGCCGAGATCCGATGATCCGATCGGACACACTGTCACTGTGACAGTGAGAGACGCCGCCGGGCCGGCCGCGGGCATCCGATCAGATGATAATGTCACTGAGTCAGGCTCCGCATCTCAAGGCCCGACCGTCGGAGAGTTTCTGCCTAGTAGGACTCGGCGCGGCCCGGGAGCGGCCCGAGCATGACGGGCCCAGTCCAGCCGGGCCGCCGGGACCGTACGTCGGGGGCCCGGCCAGCCTGCCGGGCCGCGGGCTGACCGTACCGTAGTACTAACGTAGGGTGGTAATTCTTGGGACCCACCCCACATGAGTTCTTTCAAATTAGTTTGATCCACCCCTATACGTTTCCTTTTCCTGAGCTACTCTTTCACCTACCCCACCCTATCTCCTATACACTACCCACCTTACTCAATCATACAGGCGGCCCCCACCCGACGATGCAACAGGCTGGAGACCGTAAGGGCTGGGGTAGTCGACTTTGAACAGAAGCTTGGGAGGACCGGGTCATTTAGAGACAAATGGATGGGTGGCGATCATTCGTCAAATCAGGAAACTACTAGCGAGGGTACTGAATGGGAGGGTAGTACATTGGAATTTGTGGGTAGGGTGGCATGAAGAAGAGCAGTGTCGGAAACATGGGGGTGGATGACGAAGAGGTGGTATGGAACAGGGGGTGCACCTCCAGAAGGAGGGGTGGCCTTTGGCAGTCGGGTGGGAGGTGGGAAAATGAAAGTGACAAGGGAGTAGATAGGATAAATCAATTAGAGGTCCAATTAGTAAAGCACATACCATCAGACTTCAGGATCTGCATTACATATCGGGTGTAACAAGGAGGATGAATGGGGTAGGAGAAAAGTGGGTGGGTCTTTGCATCCCCTACTTTTTAAAGGGGTGATGAGGGCAACAAGTCCACGAAAGGTAGGGTAGTGTATAATAAAACAAGGGGGTACTACAAGGGAAAAGTGGGGTTATGTTCCACATGAGGTAGGGTCATCAATAAGCCGGGAAAGGTAGGGTAGGGTCACAGGGATCCAATGGCGGGATGCGAGGGTGGATTGGTGGGGAAGACGAGAATGAAAACGTGAGAAACAAGGAAGCAGGCGACACGCAAGACATAGTTGAAAGAACCAAGATCAACCCCACCCCAAATCTCATGGCCAAGCCTGCAAGAAAACCTGCCTTATAGTTGCTTTGATCGTAATTGCACTGGAATTCGTAAGAGCTGTGTCAGAATCCACATGGTCTGAAATTCCGGGATCTATCTGACAGACATGACTACTTGAGGATTTATCGTTTTGACCATAGGCAATGAACTACAAGATGTTTTGTGAGTCGTGTTAGCCAGATTGAAATTTACTAGGGAATAGTTGTAACCTGATCTATTCACAGTGCAATGACTAATATGCACGATTGTGCGGATAAAAACAGGTCATGATGATACAGGCATAGAAGCGATCTTGCTGTCTAGATGGTTGACCTTGAATTCTCACACTGCCCTATTTATATACACTGCGAGACCTGAAGAAACAGTGAATTTGTGATGTGCCACTCCCATGCCGTGTTGTTGGTTGAAAGATTGTTTTTCATGGACTTGTTCATTCATATCATATTCACGCCAGTCGAAATTAATTCTTTACACTGCAGACTGATCCTAAGATTGAATTTGGATGTTCATGATGATGGCTGCTGTAAAAGCGAGATATTGCTATCCTGCTAATTTGCGATCCTAAGGTGACCTTTCTCTTCCTTCTTCGAAACCGAGTCCCATTCGCTTTGTAACGTCTGTTTTGATTTTTCTGTCTGGCAGAAAATCAGGATTCAGATCAAGCCATATAGTAATGCTCCGACTCTTGGATTCTGTTGCTTATCCTCTCATGTAGGTGTGAACCTGGTTGCCTCCGTGTACACGCACAAGCATGGAAATGCAGGGTGGTGATGGAAACACCAACAAAAACATTTCAGAAGGTCTGAGTGGTGCCATGTCGGATCCAAAGTTTCCCAAACAGGGTGGCGTTAGTGGGCTCGCCTCACACGAGCATTTGCCTGCGCCTGCTCTTCCACCAATGTCTACAACCATGATGGGAATTTCCTTTCCAGGAAATCAGTCAAAGCCTCTTCCGCAGGGACAGAGCCAGGTCATTGCTCCTGCTAGCACGGATGTCAGCTGAGTGCTTGGCAGGCCTTGTCTAAACCCCTTCAGTCAACCCTCCCGGGACTCCAGGCCTCCAACATTGCCAGTCCTTTGCCTGGTGTGAAGCCTGTGATGCACTCCGGCGGACTTGCTGCTGGAGGAAATTTGCCGCAAACTTCTTCACAGCCGCTCCCTGGATCCTTGTTGCTGGGGTCCCATGCCCTTCCTCAGGCGTCCATAGGAACTTCTTTGCTTGCCAGTCAAAGTGGTCCCCTTCAGACACCCCTCCAGCCTCTTGCGCAAGTGGTTGACTTATTGCATACGATTCTCTGCATGGAAGGTGATGGTTTGCTCGCAGGTTCAAACTGCAAACTCTGGACTGCAGACAGCGGCGCTTCAGTCTCAAGGGCTCTCGACGCTAAAGCCAATTACCACAACACAAACAAATACAAGTGCTACAAGTGCGCTGAATCTATCAATGCCACAACCTTCTGTGCAATTGCCAGCACAGACTTCACAGAGCTTGGTGATTGTTATATGCATGATTGGTCAAGATTGAGTCCTAACCTCTTCTTTGAAGAATTCAACGATTTCCATGTCTGCAGGACCAAATTTTCATGTCCGGGTAAATTTTGCGTGCGTATTGGTTTGGCTTGTTGACGCAGTGGTGTAGGTGAGCCAAGGCAATTCGAAATCACAGAACGAGCAGAAGAAACAGGTTTTGATTTTGTCTTGGTCTCCCTTGTAATAACAATGCAAAAGTTGAAGGAGACTGATGCTCTCGACTATCTCAATCAAGTGAAGAAGCAGTTTGGGGACAATCCAGAAATCTACAACAAATTTCTTGACATCATGAAAGACTTCAAATCTCATGCTATTGATACCCAGCGGGTGATAGAGAGGGTTTCGAAGTTGTTTCATGGCCATCAGGTTGGCTTGCTACATCTTGTTTTAATCCTAGTCCAGTGAATGATTCACCAGAGTCTCATTTTGGGCTTCAATACATTCCTTCCTGCAGGGTATAAGATCGAAGTACGACCGGCTCCTGCACAGGTTCTTAGATATTCATACTTCAGGTTGATGACGATTTACAGCAGCAACCTCCTGTAGTGCAGCCTCCAAAGAAACTTGCGACACCAGCAGCTCAGAATAAGAAAGCTGCGCCTGAATTCGATCATGCTTATTCTTATGTCTCCAAGATCAAAGCAAGATTTGCCAATCAGCCCAATGTCTATCAGCAATTCCTCCAGATTTTGCAACGATACAAGGATGAAGGGTATGCAATCGCACAGGTATGACTTGTATCGATCGCTCGCTTGTGTTGAGCGCATGATGCCAGGTCAAAGAGCAAGTTGCAGAGTTATTCGCTGGGCACGAAGATTTGCTGGGAGAATTTGGAAACTTTCTTCCGGATCCTTCTGCTAACAAACCATCCGGCGTCTCCGGTGCAGCCATGCCTTCGAAAGCAATGAAGAAACCGAAGGTGAATGGACTTCCTCGGCATGGTCTTGTGCTTGACTATGCCCTCGTCCCAGCCTTCTGCAACCCAGCCAGGGCAGCTGTCTGCCTCACATCCAACTCAGCAGGTGTCACGAGCAGTGCTTCTGACCGTGATAGGCAGTCGGTGAAACCTGTGATTGGCAGAGCGCGAACATGATGGGGCAATTTACAGCCGGAGTATCAACCTTGGCAAACCAGTCTTCTGCCTCCAACAACCAAGCTCAAGGGCAAAATGTGTGATACGTTCGCATGAAACTTGATGTTCTGACGCTTTTGCTTCAAGGATTCCTCGCAATCTGCTACCAATTCATCCACGGTAAAATCACCAATATGCTGGTCTGCTGCTGAAAATTTTGTCAGGCAAAGTCATCGAACAAGAAGCCCGCTGAGAAAAAGCCAGAGCCAATGCCGGAAAATACGAAGGAGGCTGCTTTGCTTGAAAAAATCAAGAAGAAGTTGTCCACGCAGGTGCAACTCGTATCTTTCTATCGTTTTTCTCAAGCTTAGGATGATGCAGGCTCCGAATTGCTACACTGACTTTCTCAAGTGTTTGAGTTTGTACGTTCAAGACGTTCTGACGGCGAATGAGCTGATCACACTGCTGGAAGATCTGATGGGAGGTGTGCTAACTTTCATGCCACCTGTCGTACGGCTCTCATCCTGATCTTTTCGTTGCAGGCCCTGGTTTTCGTGAGTGCTTTGAGGAGCTCAAGCATTACTTGGGGATTCGAGATGGGCCTAACAACAAGTACAAGACGAACGTACCGATCAGCGAGATTGATTTCAGCAACTGTGCTTCCATGGGCACAAGCTACAAATGTCTGCCGGCCGATTATCCATTGCCGACTTGTGCGGGACGTACGGAGCTTTGCGATGAGGTATGTCAAGTGCTGCTCCTTTTGCCCATTTGCCTGATGCCGAAGTCTTCTTGCTATCAATCTTACGTGTCAAATGTGAACCGCCTAGGTGCTAAACGATGAATGGGTCTCCGTGCCTTCTGGTTCAGAAGATTATAGCTTTACACATTACAGAAAGAATCAGTATGAGGTTGTTGGTGCTGGAAGTATGGTGCCGTGAACGTCTGACGTGCGTCTAGGAGTCGCTCTTCAAATGCGAGGACGATAGGTTCGAGCTCGACATGCTTATCGAGACCAACGCGTCAGCCATCAGGGCGATGGAGCCTCTGCTGGAGGTCACCTCGCTCCCTGAAATGGAATGTGAAGTGACTAGAGCGTCCAGGAGTGCGACAAGGACAGAAGTCGATCAGCTAAGATCAACATTTCATCGCTAAAGGTGAACACCAAATCCTTAACATTGTCAGCCCGTTTAAGAAATGCTCTAGGCCATTCACTACAAGGCGATCGAGCGAGTTTACGGCGACCATGGGCAAGAAATTACTGAGCATGTCAAACGCGCTCCCCGTGTGGCTCTCAGTGTCGTCCTTCCACGTTTGAAACAGAAGGATGAAGAATGGAGGAAAGCCAGGAGGTGGACCCGATTCATTTCGCTGTCTGCTCCGAGTTGCTCTGAAACTATTGCTAGGGACATGAACCGCATCTGGCGAGAGGTCTACAAGGACAACTATTATAAATCTTTGGACCATAGGAGGTGGGACACTTGCATGTATACATTGCCCCAATGACCTTCTTTCCAGTTTCTACTTCAAACAAATTGACAAGAAGGGATTGAGCGCGAAGAGCTTCTTGGGAGAGATCAAGCAGAGTCAGGAAGTTGGTTCAAGCAAGGAGGAGTCTCCTTACCTTGTTTTCTCCCTTGGAAGGAAAGACATTCATCAAGATATCCTCGAAGTTGTCGGCAAGAGTGCGGCAAACAAGTTGATGGAAGGAGCCGAGGCGCGAGTTCGCAAATTCTTCCACATCTTCCTTCACGTGTTCCTGGGCCTGAAGAAGCGATGCATTGACGACGTTCGGGCTCGCGCGAGGATGACGACGAAGAAGGAAAGAAAGTCGGATCAAGACAAAGACAAGGATTTCCTGAACCTCAGGAATCGTAGTCTTTCCAAAGAAGATGAAGAAGCGAAAGACGAAGACGAAGAGATGAAGGAAATGAATGACGACGAGAAAGAATCGACAGAAACCAAAACGGTTGGTGACGATACGGATGAAGGCGAAGAAGTTGCCAAGACAAACAGGGAGCAGGTTGAGAAAGTCAAAGATGCTGAGGATGAAGATGAAGAAGAAGAAACGGAGGAGGAGTCAGAAGATGAGGACCATGACATCTGGCAGTCAGTTCACAGGTGCACACAGATATGAAAGTTCCTGTAAGCTAACAGCATCTCGTTAGTCTTTCGACAGAGTTTCTGCCTCTCAAGACTTATGCTGAAGAAAAAGTGAGGTATACCAGGTTGTGACATTACGATTAAGTGCAATCAACAGAATGGACAAGTTGATGACATCATGTTCTCTTCATATCCCAAGGCTCAAAGGTTGTCTTTGTTGTTGGATGAATTTATACCCACCCGTTGCAACTCATATGCGAACTCTACTTCTCTCTTGTGTTCTGCGTCATCAAAATCATGATGATGCTTTTTACCTGGCTTCTTCTGACACGAATGAAACAACAGCGGAGTTCACGTATTCTACGGAAATCTGTCCTGTTATGTATTCTTTCGCTTGTATCAAAAACTTTACGAGGTCTGCCTTGAGACCTGAACGTGATCCATCAATTTTGAATGGCTTGCAGCGCTTGCTGAAAGCAAAAAATCTCGCCAACGAGATGTCCAAGGTGATTCTTTTGGTGGTTACAGTCGAGGTTTGACTCTCAACAGCGCGAGGAGGAGGTAGAGATCAACAGGGATCAAGAGCCAAAATCAGGAAGCCAAACAGCCGAAACCGGTAAGAGACTCGCTGACCCCGTGCCTCGCCGGCTCCTCACAGATCATCAGATGCACCATGTGCTGAGCAGGAGGGCAGCAAGAGCGCTGAAGCGATCTACAAGAAGTTCATGAATATGCTGATCCAGCTGGTGGAGGAAGCCATCGATACCTCAAAGGCATGCGGAGAAATGAGAAATGAGGCACGGTAACTTGCTGTGTATCAGTTCGAAGATGATTGCCGGATGCTCCTTGGAACTAATTCCTATGAGCTTTACACGCTTGAGAAGGTAACACTCCTATCCCCTCTTGTTGTCTACTCGAGCGTCTTCGTGCTTCGTGTCGCTCTCTCATCCTCCCTCAGGTCGTGGAGAAGCTTCTCGGTCAGGTCCAGTCCATCACCTCGGAGTCGAGCACCCAGACAGGCGCGCGGCACCTTGCTCTCATGGAGTACGAGTGTCTCCGCACTGACGCTGAGAACTGGGAGGTGCTCGAATCTCGTGCTCCCGCTCGGCCCAGCTGACATCTCAATCTCAGGACATCAGCCCGCTCGACTACCTCGGAAACGCGTCCTGTCTGAGCGGAGAAGAGGTGAAAGAGACAAGCAGTGAGAGGGGAGAGCTGACGAGGAAGCAGGGCTGCTTCGCTTTCTTTTACAGCACCAAGGATGAGAAACTAACAATCGCGCTGCTAGACGTGAAGGAAGGCGGCAAAGCTGACACCCGGTAACTTACAGCAGTTGTTGAGCGTCGAGGGCTGATTTTGTCATGATAGCAACGAAAGGAAACGAGAGGACTGGATTGACGATCTCTTGTCTACAATAGCTGATTCAGATGCTGTCGACAAGCGTCCGTTCCTGACCCGAAGCCTGAATAAGTGTCTCGACAAGTACGGGAAAGAAGAGGAGAAGTTTGTCCGCATTGGGTGACTCCACCTTTGCTTCTCGCTCCCGTATCTGACCCCCCACAAGCTGCATGGAGATCAAGTGCAGCGACAGCCGCGTCTCGTTCGGGCCGGTAGGGCTGGGAGCATGCGAGCGACTCGTTGACTTGGTGCAGATGACCAACGAGTGTCAGTACCGACGAAAATTCTCCAGGGACGCCTCCTACTACTCGACCTCGAGGTCGATCGTGATGGGTCAAGGCTGTCGACTGATCCCCCTCCTTCCCCTGCAGGCGAGCCAAGAAAGTTGCGGCATGGCAGGAAGAGCGTCTGAAGAAGATCCCTGAAGAAGCTGCCGCTGAGGCTGCGCGACTCGCCGAGCTCGAGGTGAGCAAAACCTTTTAGCTGCGGCTGTTCTGATGACTTGGTCAGGCGGCTCAGAGAGCAGAAGAGGAGGAGGAGGTGCGATGGTTCGTAAGGTAAAGGAGTGCTGGACTGATGCGTTTGCAGGATGATGAGAACGAGGAAGATGAGGAGCAGGAGACAGGAGAGAGGGAGGGTGAGTCGTCGTCGCCCGTGCGTTTATCTCATCACGTGAAATGGAGCAGATGAAGAAGGCGAAGGCGAAGGCGATGCAGAAAACGAAGCTGAGGCCGAGGAAGAGGGAGGCCTTGATCAGCTCGTGAAGGCTGGACAGCATGAGAGCGCCGTGAGCAAGGCAGCAAGTGAAGCACAGGAAGAGGTAGCGGCTACCATGATGCATACGTCGTTTGACTGCAACAGCAGGAAAAGTCGGAGCCCATGGAGGACGTGACGTCTGAGAAGAACGACAAGGAGGAGGCAGGAGAGGAGGCCAAACCTGCCAGCAAGAGACCCAGCAAGACGAAGAGAGCGGAGGAGAGCAAGGAAAGTAAAGAGTCGAAGCGCGCAAAGAGGGAGACAAAGGAAGCCAGCAACGATGAAGATCCTGCGAATGCTCAAGAGGTGTTGGAGGCGGGGAGGAAGTAGCTCAGGCTCATTGAGTCCTGCAGGAGTCAAAGGAGGAGGAGGAGGAGAAGGAGGATGCAGTCAAGGTACGGGATGACTCGAGGACCGCGTGCTCCTTGACTTTAATTTGCAGAAGGACAAGGCAGGCAAAGACGACAGCTCGGAGTCCAAGTCAAGCAAAGAGGTAAAGCTCTTTGCTCCTCGTCCGCTGTCTGATCTGCCTTCAGAGCAAGGAAGCCAGCGCTGCTCGAGCCTCGCGGAGCAGCAGAAGACGAAGATGAAGATTTTGCATACCTCGAGAGGTTTCTCCGCCTTCCTCTTGCCTTTCCAAGACACAATGACCGTAAGATTTTCGCATGGTTATCAACAACATCAGCTCTATCCCCATCATCTTCATAATATCTTGAAGAGAAGCTGTATCTGAAATGTCTTCAAGCTTTGATAATTTATGAATACATTTATACTGACTCATCTTCTTTTCCTGTCCGTTCCCGTTCCTTCTGCTTCAACTTTCCTTTTCTGCTGTTGCCGTCCGTCGCCGTGTCGCTTTGTCTCCGTTTCTCTCTTCCAACAGATTCTGCTTAGTTTGCCGATTTAACCAATTCCAAGGTTTGTTGGGATGAGATTGGCATGGCAATCATCTCTATGCCGAATATTCGAATTCATCAACGTTTGGTGTTGGTCTTCAGACAGGAGAAGAAACATTGGAGCGGATACCATCTTCATTTTAACAGCAATTTATTATTTCTATTTCACATCTTACAACCAGAACGGATTTTCTACTTGCATCCATCCATCATCAAAGCGCTGCTCCTTTCTGGCAGCATCCTCAAAGAAGAAGTCCTGCCCTCTCCTCATCCAATCATTCGACACATCTAGTTTCACATCCCCCATCACATTCGCTTCAGCATCAGCGGGCCTTGAAGCACAAGTCACGGGCTCTGGCGATCCCGGGGAGTGCGGGCTCGAGGTCTTGCTGGCATCATCCTTGGCTTTCTTGGCTGCATACTTCCTATGAATCTTGCGCACGTAGGCATCGTCGTAGTGGCCGGGCATGCCGACCTCGGGGTTCTTCTTGTAGGGCCACCGGCTGACTCCCAACTTGCGACAAGCCTTCTTCATAGCCGTCGAAGAGATCCCGAGACGCTTAGCAGCCTCAGTGAGCGAAGTGTCGGAGTACATGTCGAGGATCTCCAAGGTAATGCAGACAGGCCCGGTCGAGTCCTTCATCTGCTGCCCGGCTTTCCTTCTTGGGATCACTGTAGAGACGGCACCATTGCTGGCAGACTCCATCGAGTTGAAGTTGAGAGACATTCCGTGCATGTCTGGAACCAAATTCTCCATGCCCATCATCATGGAGTTAGAAGGGAGCAAATTGTCTGTGTAGGGAACAACATTGGGAGCAAACGAAAACATCTGTGGCTTGCTCTCGAACATCTCCTGGGGAGCAGGCGGCATTGCAGTATTCATGTGCACCAAATCACCGGTATTACGCATGTAAGGCATTTCTGCCGGCACTTCTTGCGGTTGCGACCATTCACATTTATCGTAGGCAGGATTGAAGATTGCCATCATGTGCGTAATAACCCCCATTCCATTGACAACCGGATAAACCTGAACGTCGCAGAAGACCTCAGTACAGTCGATCGTTGAGGTAAACATGCTGCCGAACTGGCTTGTTCCATATTGAGCTTCATTAAACAGGCTGGCCCACACGGAAAGATCTGTCCTTGGTCCTTGAATCATTCTCAACGTGCGCCCTCTGATCTGATGGTCGGAGATACCATAGAGGTATGTAAATGCTGAACTGACGTACTCAACGTGAAACGGTTGAGAGATGCCCAAAACAACCTTAGCCATCCCGTCGTCAGCCATGGCGGCCTTGCTGTATACCACGTCTGCAGGTTTCATGGTGAGCGAGCAAGCGACAGGCTCGTTGTTCTCCAGGATTGGCTTGGAGTTGACAGTGAGCACAAGATAGTTTCCGGAGCTGGTGTACATAGTAATCGCAGCCTTGGACTCCTTCCCCATCAATGCGGCTTGAATGAGCATGCTCACTTTTCGTACGTCTGTAGCAGGCCCCTGAATCAGCTTCAAGCTTCTTCCCGCGACTTCCTCTCGTGAAAGCTTGAAGAGATCGAGCCACTCCTGACTAACGCGAAAGATCTTATGAGGTGCTGTCAGGCCAACAACCAGTGTAGAGACTCCAGTTTCGAAGTCGATGGCACCGTTGTAGTTCTCCATAGTTTCAATTGCAGCTGGCTGGAACGGTCTCTCAGCTGAATACGCTGAGTTTTCCCAGCCAAAGTTTACGCTCTGAGGAAAAATTGTTTCCATGGTGCAAGAATAGTCGAGGACAAAGCTGCCTGAAAAGGCGAGAGCAAAAAAAATCGAATCAAAATGAAATCAGCGACACGGATAGAGCTGAAGACAAGGGTGACAGTGGAGGAATAGGTTGAATGAAATGTGTTCGAGAAGAGAAGAGGGGAGAGGGGGGGAGGGGAAGCGTAGGAGAAGGGCGTGTAGGGGGTTGAGCAGCGAAGGTGATGGAGGAAACGGGGAATGGAAGGGATTGTAAGCACGGGGAGAGGAAGGAGACAACAGGAAGGGAAAGGGGGGGGTAGACCACCCCACCCTCTTCGTATTTTCAACTACCAAGTACCCTTCGCTCTCCTGAACAGATATGGGTAGTGCGTTTTAGGATGGGGTAGGTCACATCAGCAGAAAGAAGCTCAACTCAAGGTAGGTGGTGAAACAGTTTCTACTACCCCATCATTGCATAGCAATTTTCCATTAAAATATATGGTGGGTTTGTGAAGAGACCATCGGTTTAGGGGTGGGGGTATCTCAACCACAGCGCACGAGTCCGTGACAGGGGGTGGTCTAACCATGGGGGTTCCATGGCTTGAAATTGGAGGATGGGGTTGGTGTGACATGGTGTGAGATTTTCACTGGGGTGAGGGTAGTTCTAAATGGCCTTTGAAGGGTGGGTACCTTAGTGTCAGGGACACCACCAGGTACTTTTGATGTATTATAGATGGGTCCTGGTAATGATGCCGCTCGCTATCGAGACCGGTACCCCTCCTGGATAGAACTGGCGCTCAATGCTACCCCACCCTAACCCCAAGGACCCCCTCATTCGAAGGAATGCACTTTCTGGGCTAGAAGCAAGTAGACCGCTTTTTCTCCTCAACCACCCACCCCACATGATGCCTTTACTTCGATCGGAAGACCCCAAAATCGTGAGATTTGTGACATAGATTACGAGATTTTCATTTCTTTTGTCCTCAGTGTTTGAATATTTCATAAGATCTTTGAAAAATGACATTTGAGCCGGATGCCTTGATGAAATTGAGTTGGTAGGGTAGTGTACTGTGATTGTAGCTGACGATGGGGGACAATGGGGTTGATATATAACTACTTATAAACGACCAAAAACTCTGAATTTGCATCGCTTCGGTTATTATAAGAGCTTTATAGCAATCACGAAAAACATGACTTATAACACGAATTTGTAGGAGGAGGCTGCCATGAGATACCAATCGTTTGGAATCTTAAAGGTCGAGATCTTTGCTGACCCAAAAACCACCCCTCCTTACTATGCGCCCCCACCTACCCACCCCCTCTTCCAATTCCGCCCAAGATTTTGGCCAGATCTTAGCTAAATCTTGAGGAACAAGGGGAAATGTGGTAAACTAGAGCACTCTTGTAACGAGGCTTGCATGACAAGGATAAGGGTCGCTGTTTGTGTGATTCTCTACAAGTAGAAATACAAGAGCCGGGCACCCGATTGATTTCACCTGTGAGCGTGCTTAAGCAGTATCCGGGTAAAGTTTGGTCCCAATTGAAGTAGTCAGGGTCGGAAAGGGAAACACATAAGCACTGGGGTCATATATGGGGTCGTTGGAGACACGTTTTTTTTTAATCAAGATCTCAAACGCAGTTGTTTCAAAGGAGAGCTGACATCATGAATTGGAATATGGTACACACAAGATCTGATCTCCGGTCAGCAGATCTCGTAGAGTGGCAAGATCCGAAACGATATGTTTCTGGGTACAGTCAGGAGTCTTCGTTTCAATGTGATTCCAAAGAATCGAAATTCGCATCTCTTGAATGTGTGTAAAACACGTTCAAGGAGACGGACAAGCGTCGGTCACGTTACTAGTCACGATCCTTATTTGGTGCAAAGGAAATCTGATCTCCTCCAATCTCTATCTAACAGTACCCCCCCACCTCCGATAATCGAATCATGTAGTAGGGGGAAGGGGGTGGTCTTCAAAAATCTGATCCGTCCTTTCGCAGATGGAAACCTCCAGAAGTGTCGAGACTGGGTCGGAAGAACACACCGATCAGATATATCTGCTGACAGGTCTTTATGTGAGAGAGTCTAAAGGTTTGCATGTTTAAAAAAAAAGTTTATGGATATGGTACTAACCAACGGACAGGACTTTGAGTAAAGTAGGACCCCGGGCGCCGGCCGGTGGCCCGGGGCCGCCCCCGGGCCACTGCAGAGCAAGCCTCGGTACCTCGTACTGATCTTTAACTTAACTTTCAGTAAACCCAGGTGCACATCAGTTGCCAGTATGGAGACAGCGTCGGTACTGTGAAGCAAGAGCAACAGCTTCGAGACGACCATGATCTTGCTTATCTTCTCGCATTGACAGAGTGTTCGACACCATGACTCATCTCAATACAACTCTCTCTCAAACTTGCATGAAATTATTCAGCCAAAGTACTCGCATTCAAGGCGAACTTCGTCGTCACTTCGATCTCCAAGACGACCTGTTAATCTACATTGACTGTATTTCTCGTCGCAGGATCTGCATTCCGTAAGCTGCTGGTAAACAAGTTTGAAACAAATTCGGAGATCTTGAGCGGTGCGATGGACTTGGGCTGGAGCTTGGCTGTTGTAGTCTGATCTTGGAGAGTAATGTTGGTTGTTGTCAGCCAAGGCTGATCGCTGACTTGGAATGAGTGAGGGCGACGACGCTGGTCGAGCCTGCTGCTCGGTGTATGTAGCGGCCTGAGCGATGAGATCCATGGCGTCGCGAGCGGCTTGCATGTGAACTTCGATGGCTTCTCTGGACTCGAGTACGAAGTTGAAGAGAAGTTCTCGCCAAGCGCAAGCCTTGAAGCGTGGTTGTGGACTGCAGTACCTCGTGAAGTGGAAAGATTATTCCAACGCCGCTTCAGAGCAATCGTGGCTGCCAGCAAAGACTCCCCGTCAACGCTCTTGAATTCATCTGATGATAGCCTCGGATGCTTTCGATCAAGCAGCGCAGGAAGACGCGGCGTCAGCTTTTTGGTTACGGGGTTCTCTTCCTGACTTGGTCTGCAATTGATTCATCAACGGCTTGCGCTTGCACATTACTGCTCTGCCAACGGTGGTGAAATCAATGGGTAACGCTCAGCGGCTTCAGGACTCGGCCAACTTCCCTTGACTTTCGCCTGCTTAAGGAGGACGCAGTGAAGATCGATAACGAAATGAACACCAAGGACCATGGTAGTACTGGCGGCCGACAATCGTCAGGTCTACTCCATGCAGGTCGGTAATCGTTCATTCTCCTCCCCTCCAACGCACACGAGGAGGCTGCTTTCAACCGGTTGTACTCCATGAAACTCACCCGTTCTTTTCCTGTAACCCATCTACAGATATCCAGCAACTGTCATTTTGTTGCTCAAGACTCGTCCTTTCCAGCAGAATGATGAAGCTTAGATTGACCCTGGGTACCCCAGCAAGTCAGTTTCGAACACGAGTACGAGGCTTCATTCTGATAGCCCTTTATTGCGTCAGATTTGCACTCTCATCGTTCCTTGTGCCTGCGAGAGCAACTATAGAAGGAGACGATTGACCACCACAACGGTGCATGTCATAATCGAACACTGCAACCAGAAAGTGGTGGAGAAGCGAGCTTTTGGCTGGATCCAAGGCCCGCCGGGAACGGGGAAGACGACGACGACGCTAGCCTTCTGCTTGTCTCTTGACATGAGGGAATGGAGCGTAACGCTCATCAGGCTGAATGCATCCGACAACGTTGATTGCATCCAAATCGTGGACGGTAAGAGGAGATCGTGCAGCATTCCAAAGCGCTCCTCGTGGGAAGGAATCAACAGAATGCTGGAAGAATGGCAGGACTACAAGAAGGGTTTTGTGGTCCTGGACGGGTTCTTGAGGCATGAATCACATCACGTAGACTTCTTGGACGCATGTAGGAAATGGCTGCTAGCTGATCGAGAGAATCGGCGGGTTGTAGTAGCGACATCGATGTTGGAGACCCAGTCGGGAGGAGAACCCCGTCCTCCGACGCACACGAGGAGGCTGCTTGTACTCCATCCAGGCTCGCCCGTTTCTTCTTCTGTAACCCAGCACGGATATTCAGCCCCTGTCAGTTTGTTTCACAAGACCCGTCCTTTCCAGCAGTCCTTTCCAGCAGAATGATTGAGCTTAGATTGAGCGCCCTGGGTACCCCAGCAAGTCAGTTTCAAACGTGAATACCAGGCTTCATTCTGATAGCCCTTTATTGCGTCAGATTTGCACTCTCATCGTGCCTGGTGCCTGCTTGCAAGGTGGCCTAGCTCGACAGTGCTTCGACGTGGTAAGGATCTGTAAGCTATGGATCTGTAAGCTTTTAGTCTTCTTACACGTTCTGATCATACGAACATTCTTCGCTCCTTTACTTGTAACATACATGTCGCTACCCAGCTTCAAGTCCACACTTCTCCGTCGACCCTCGAGGCGCACCATTGGTGAAAGGTTTTTCTTTAGTACCCCCACTGATGACCCCTACCGAGTGCCGTATATTCGTGGGTACTGCTCGGTGCGCTGTATGGCAGAGCAGGTCGGCAAGGCTGACAAGGACCCGCTTGCTGAGGTCAAGACGCGCAGCCCGCAGAGAGAAGCAAGAGGGCGAGGGGCGAGGGCTATGGGCGCTAGGGAGGGAGGACGAGGTGATATCTCGGGAGGGGGGGAGATATGCGAGTCATCGCCGGAAGGGAACAACGAGGCGAGCAAGAGGCGCCGGGTGTGCTACTCTGGGATGAATGTCAGTAACCAGTCTGCCGAGCAGGAAGGAGAAGGATATGTCAAGCCTGTAGGAACAGATATCAAGGGGGTAGAAGAAAAGATCGAGCATGTAGAAGCTAAAATAAGGGGGGTAGAAGGAAAGATACAGCTTGTGGAACAAAACATCCGGGATGTACTGGATCAGATCAGACATGAACAGGATCCCACGATGAAGGCTGCCCTTGTCAGGAGACACGAGCAGCTTGGAGCACGTCTGACGCAGCTTGGAGAAGAAAAACTTATCCTTTTGAGACAGAGCACCGGATCCCATGTGCCACCGATTGCTTGGATCGAGTCAGATGCAAGACTGGATCGGACGGGCTTTTGCAACGACCACAAGTACTTTCGTCTCGATGCATCCTACCTACAAAGAGACGGAGAGCTTCTTCTCTACTGCCGGGAAGCTTTCAAGAATCAGCATTGTTTCCTGAGGGAGAAGGTGGTGGAGAAGCGAGCTTTTGGCTGGATCCAAGGCCCGCCGGGAACGGGGAAGACGACGACGACGCTAGCCTTCTGCTTGTCTCTTGACATGAGGGAATGGAGCGTAACGCTCATCAGGCTGAATGCATCCGACAACGTTGATTGCATCCAAATCCTCGGCGATAAGAGGAGATCGTGCAGCATTCCAAAGCGCTCCTCGTGGGAAGGAATCAACAGAATGCTGGAAGAATGGCAGGACTACAAGAAGGGTCTTGTGGTCCTGGACGGGTTCTTGAGGCATGAATCACATCACGTAGACTTCTTGGACGCATGTAGGAAATGGCTGCTAGCTGATCGAGAGAATCGGCGGGTTGTAGTAACGACATCGATGTCTTCTCGAGGAAAGACAAACGATGAAGCTGACAATCGGGTGAATCTCCAAGAGCACACCGTTGTATCTTGGACGGAGAGTGAGTACCTGGAAGCAGTGGAGTGGGACGATTTCTATCAGGGTGTAGCATGCATGCTGGAGGAGGACGAAAGTGCGGCGAGCATGGGCTTGAAGACATGGAAGAGGAACAGGTCTGAACGAGAGAAGATCAAGCTGAAATACTACCTGGCTGGCGGCTCATGTCGGTACATGTTCGAGACGCCCGCATCATTGGTGAAACAGAGGCTGGATACGGCTTTGAGATTCTGTCCAAACCTAGAAATCATCTTCAATGGCAACATAGGCGACTCATCACCGCAGACTGTAAACCGCTTGATTGCGTGCTTCGAGTACAACGGGGAATCGAACTGGATGCCTGTGAGCAAGTATGTCGCGACGAAGCTTGCAGAAGCGGTAGAACTAGACACGTTGACGAGGCTTTTCTCAAAGTATGGGGCAAGCAATCCGACTACAAGGGGCCATCTTTTCGAGCTTTTCTTTTTCAAGAAGATCAAGTACGGGCTGAGCCTGAGGTATCGGGGATCTCAAGAGCTCACGCAATGGGAGGGATGTCCAGTCATCACCTTTGATGCAAAGGGAGGCATGCAAACGCTTCCTGCAGAGAGAACTTGCTTGAAGCCCGTCAACCCCCTTCAAGGAGGCTACGACGCTATCATAGTAGAGCCTCGCGGGAAGTTAGTAGAGTTTGTGCAGGTGACAGAGGCAAACGTCCACGCTTTCAAGCTGGCTTTCTTCGCAGAGGCTCTCACGGGGCTTGGCATCCCAGCAGCTGGATGGAAGGTGAGGGTGGTGTTCATGGTGCCGCGAGAAAGTCTCGAGGCCTTTCGGATAGGTCAAATCACGGGCAGCGGTGCGCTGGAGGAGTACGGATGGAAGCGAGGGCAGGAAGGGAGGCAGGCAGAGGTAGCGGGTATTGATATCGCGTGAGCTCACCGGCATTAGCAAGGGAGAGCGGGGGAGGCGTATGGCAGGCGAGGCAAAGATCCGACAAGGAGCGGCGGCTGGTCACCAAGAGTCTGGGAAGATGATCAGCCTGATGAGATTGACGTGTTGTGGAATAGACTCTTCACTCGCAGGGCCCGGGTAGTGTGTACTGAGAGGTTGAAAGGCAAACTAGTTGATCACTTTCACGTTGTACTTGACTCAACAGTGTCATAATGTGAGACGGTAGCCCAACGTGCCAGTGTCATAATGTGAGACGGTAGCCCAACGTGCATTACGCTCATACAACTTGACTTGGCTTGTGCTTACTTGAGTTCGAAGTCTCTCCGACCGTTCACATCTCCTAAGTTGCGCACCTCAGGGAGTCATTGCGATGTACTGCTGCAATTTCCCTGATCTCCTTGATGAAACGTGCCAATATGAAGCCTCACAGTGAAGGAAACACATGATTCTTGAAGCTTTAAGTCTGCTGCCCACTTGTTACCAAACGGCGGAGGCCGGCCCCCGCTTGGCTTGAAGGTTCAACCGGTTGCCTGCCGACTGGCGGCTCACGGTGGAACCGTATCCGACTCCGGTGGCCGGCGGCGGTCGGAGCCTGGCCGCGTCACTCAGAGGCTTTCATGCGCCCACCCGGAGGTTTTGATGGATCCGATACATGATGCGGCGGCCAGCCGACGGTGCCAGTCAGATAATGATAGCCCCACTGAGCCAAGTTAACAAAAACTCTCCTGTAAACCAAGACGACTTACTCGGCGTGTTTCAAGCCTCGGAGGCAACTTGAATGTAGTGCAGAGACGAAGAGGAGACTCCTTCCCCGGGCCGCGGGCGACCTAGCGTGTGGGTGCTCAGCCTAGACGGTGTGTTTCACATTCTAGCATACAGTCTATGAAGGCTCTCATGTGCTCCTCAATGCCTTGAGCAAAAACTCACTGAGTCAGGTCTTGTTACCATTGAGATTGATGTGATATCTGCTTGACTTGAAGTCACGGAGTTGGCACAGCCTACAAGTCTAACAACTTGACTTGCCAAACTTGTGCTCCCGGCTGAGTCCGTTCAAGCTTAAGTTTGGCAAAGTGGATCGCCCCGGCGGCGGCCGCCGGCGCCGTGGCCCCGCCGGTCCGATCATCATGACGCTACTCAAACGGCGCTACTAGGCCCGGCCACTAGTGCCCATCGGGGCCCGGGCCTGGGCCCGGGCCCGCCGGGTCATGGGTCACCGGGTTGGTACGCCGTGCGCCGGTCCGATCCGATCCGATCGGGCACTGGGCCCGGCCCGGTGACAGTCCGGTCCGATCCGGCTTTTTTTCCTTGGAAGGTTTTCTGGTTACAAGTACCCCTCCTTTCTAGTACATTTCCCAGGACTTGGGATAGGTACGGCTGTCGTTCCAGAACAGGCTGTACCCCAAGCACAATCACCCCGATTTCTTTACCCACCCCTACACACATTCAAGCTCAATTTGAATGTACCCCTCCATTGCACTAGAGGTAGAGGCGGTTCTCAAGTCAAAATCTTACAAATACCCACCCCCACCCTTCTCAAAAACACCCCCTCCTAACGCGCAGCACCAAACAGATCTCACCCCTATTTTCTAGCTCAGTTGTTGAGATTTTTGAGGGTGGGGTAGATGGAGCTGTGGAGCTGCTAGCCAGGGGGACACCCTGTCCTTCGTCAACCTGTCACTATGCAGAGTCGAAGGATCAAAATTTCTTTGTTCTTGCTGATGCATGTTGTGCATGCCTCATATTTTTCCTCCCTCATCTTCATATTCCTGCAGCATGCCCTCCTGCATTCCTGTATCACAATTTGTTTCTCTTTCCTCTCTAAGTGACCCTATCCCTTGGTTCCCTTTGCGATGGGAAACCATCGAATTGTTTATCGAACATTCATGTATCATTGTCTTTGTACGTTACCATCTCCAAGAGGTCTCGTTTGATTATCTTTTCGTTGTGATTCTATCATTTGACTTATGCAAAGTGCATTGTTCCTGGAAATGTATGTCTCGTCTGGTCTGATCAAAAATGTGTTTGCTGCCACATGAAGCTTTAGAATGTAAAAATGCCGATGAATTCTTGATGCTTCTCGAGCTATTTTCAATTGAAACATCGTATCGTTATGTCAAAGTGAAGCGTTGCTGATGCTTGTTTTGTTTTGTTCAGGAACAAAATGGCGGCAGCTGGCGGGTAATTTTTACCATGTTTTGTTTTGAATCTTAATCTCGTTGATCGCAGAGAGGAAAAGAAAGTCTTGAAGAAAAAGAACCCGAATCGCCTCATTGTAGACGATGCTATCAATGACGACAACAGTGTCGTGTCTCTCAACCTGAAGACCATGGAGGAACTTCAGTTGTTTCGTGGAGACACCGTGCTCCTCAAGGGTAAGAAGCGACGTGACACAGTCTGTATTGTGCTGGCCGACGACGATTGCGAAGAGGCAAAGATCCGCATGAACAAAGTTGTCAGGAAGAATCTTCGTGTACGCTTGGGAGACATCGTTGTTGTGCAAGCTTGTCCCGATGTCAGATACGGCAAGAGGATCCACGTTCTTCCTATCGATGACACGATTGAGGGTGTTACTGGAAATCTCTTCGAGGTATGCGGGAAATAATTTCACGTCTGAATGGCTGACATGCTTGTAGACTTTCTTGAAGCCTTATTTTCTCGAGGCTTATCGCCCTGTCCGCAAGGATGATCTTTTTCTTGTCCGTGGTGGCATGAGGGCAGTTGAGTTTAAGGTCGTCGAAACTGATCCTGGCGACTACTGCATTGTTGCCCCAGACACTGTCATCTTTTGTGAGGGAGAACCAATCAAGCGTGAAGACGAAGAACGCTTAGATGACGTTGGTTACGACGATATCGGTGGCGTGCGAAAGCAGCTCGCACAGATTCGTGAGTTGGTTGAGCTCCCCCTCAGACACCCTCAGCTGTTCAAAAGTCTGGGAATCAAACCGCCAAAGGGACTTCTGATGTATGGACCTCCTGGGTCGGGCAAGACTCTCATTGCCCGTGCTGTGGCAAATGAGACCGGTGCTTTCTTCTTCCTCATCAATGGCCCGGAGATCATGTCCAAGATGGCTGGTGAATCTGAGGATAATCTCCGCAAGGCTTTTGCAGAGGTATGGACGACAATTGTTTCAAGATCGTTGAGAGTTATGTTTTTCTTTGCAGGCTGAGAAGAACGCCCCCTCAATCATTTTCATTGATGAGATTGATAGCATTGCACCCAAGCGTGACAAGGTCAATGGAGAAGTTGAGCGACGCATTGTTTCGCAGCTTCTTACTTTGATGGATGGCTTGAAAGCACGTTCTCACATCATTGTCATGGCGGCCACCAACCGTCCCAACAGGTGCTATATCTTTGCGACTCAACGAAAAGCATGCACGATCTGACTTGATTTATTCTTAGCATCGACCCCGCTCTCCGTAGATTTGGAAGGTTCGATCGCGAAGTCGACATCGGTGTCCCAGATGAGACTGGACGTATGGAGGTCTTGAGAATCCATACGAAGAACATGAAGTTGTCAGATGACGTGAACCTCGAGCAAGTTGCTCGTGAGACCCATGGATACGTTGGTGCAGATCTTGCTGCCTTGTGCACAGAAGCAGCACTTCAATGCATTCGTGAGAAGATGGACGTCATCGACCTTGAGGATGAAACTATCGATGCTGAGGTTCTTGAATCCATGGCTGTCTCCAATGATCACTTCAGGACCGCGTTGGGAAGCACGAATCCATCAGCTCTCCGTGAGACAGTTGTTGAAGTTCCCAACGTGACTTGGGACGACATTGGTGGTTTGGAAGCTACCAAGCGGGAGCTGCAAGAAACTGTTCAATACCCGGTTATGTATCCTGAGCAATTTGCGAAGTTTGGCATGAATCCTTCACGCGGTGTGTTGTTCTATGGTCCCCCTGGTTGTGGCAAGACCCTTCTTGCTAAGGCAATTGCAAATGAGTGCCAATCCAACTTCATTTCCATCAAGGGTCCAGAGCTCCTTACCATGTGGTTTGGTGAGTCGGAAGCGAATGTTCGCGAAGTGTTCGACAAAGCTCGCCAATCTGCTCCTTGCGTGCTCTTCTTTGACGAGTTGGACTCTATTGCTAGAGCCCGAGGAAGCTCCGGTGGAGATGCTGGTGGAGCTGGAGACAGGGTGATGAACCAGCTTCTGACGGAGATTGATGGCGTCGGCGAGAAGAAGAATGTCTTCATCATCGGAGCTACGAACCGTCCTGATATCATCGACCCTGCCTTGATGAGACCTGGACGTTTGGACCAGCTTGTGTACATACCACTTCCAGATTATGCATCTCGTGTGGACATCTTGAAGGCTTGCCTACGCAAGTCTCCACTTGCCAAGGATATCAGCATTGATGAAATTGCACGGGTATGCGAAGCGCTTTTCATTTTTTTGTGCGTCTGATGTTTAAACAGGCCACAGAGAAGTTCAGTGGAGCAGATTTGACTGAGATCTGCCAGCGTGCTTGCAAGTACGCCATTAGGGAGTCTATCGAGAAGACCATCCGTTACAAGAAGGAGCTGGAGGCTCGTGGTGAAGACGTCATGGAGGAAGACATTGATCCCGTGCCTGAGATCACTAAGAGCCACTTCGAAGAAGCCATGCGCTTCGCTCGTCGCTCTGTGTCCGACGCTGACATCCGCAAGTACGATATGTTCTCGCAGAAGCTGCAGCAGGAGAGAGGCTTTGGCAGTACCTTCAAGTTTAGTGACAGTGCTGGTGGCGGAAGCGGCCAGGCGGCTGGCAACGACGCTGCAGCAGATGATGATGATCTGTACAACTAGATTGGCTATCGTTGTAGTTCAACAGGTAGTGCTCCTTTCGGGCTGGCGATTGGCCGCCCTCAGCTTTCCTGCTGTTCGCTGCAAGTAAAGATTTTGATTGCGCATGGGCATGTCTCGTCAGTTCTCCTTGCCATTCTGTTGTCAGTCTCATTGTTCAACTCAGATAGAGTTGAGCTGTTGCAGTTCTCTTGTTGTCAAATCAGTTTCGAGGCGAACAAGCTTGATAAGAGCATGTTTGCCTACTTCACTCTCCGATAACGAGATGTTGGAGCCTTGGAGAACATAACAGCGATTTATTGCAAGCAAATGCAGCATAGTAGAGAAAAGATGGCATGGAGCACTTTGATTTAAGCCTTACGGCCGAAATGCAAGGTTAGTTTGAGTTGGGTAAGTTGAGTGAGATGATTTGAGGTGAGATAAGGGGGACTGGCAGAAGTTGCATCGAGATCAAGTATCATATTCAACACAAGACGAATTGAGACAAATTGAAATAGTTATGCAAGAATCAGCATCTTTATCGTCGTTGTTCATGACTTCATTCCAACTCAACAGAGTGTCTCCTGTGTCTACAAACCTAATCGTCATCACTTAAAGTTGGTGAACTCCCTCACCATGAATGTTTGCAACGCCATCTACTCATGGAGCAGCATAATTGCAATCGCACTGAGCGTCTGCTAGTATGAGATCACTGCAGCCGTCAGTTGCAGGATGGAATTACATCCATCGGATAATCTCTTCCGATCAAAATCTGGTAAGCTTGTTCTGTTTGTTACTTCTACAACGCAGCCCTCCTTTCGTTTCAACTATGACGTCTCTTGACGATAATGGAGACCAAGTTTCTATTGCAAAGCTTATTTATTTCATAATCACGTTTCACAGGTTGTGTTTTATTGTACAACATTCATCACTCGAGAGTTGATTGGTGGCTACTAACTTACAACTGAAAGAATCGATCTTCAAGAATAATCGCGCGTCTCATTGACATGTCTTCGATGCCTCTCACTCGTTCACAAAGACACGCATCGCATCTTCGCTGCCAGAAATTCTTCCAGACTGACTACCCCGCTGCCAGTGTGCATGTTGTCGAACAGATCCGCCAGCTCGTCTTGGCTCATTCTATGTCTCAGACCCTCAAACAAGGTGTCGACCGGGAGAACTCCTTCATCTGGTGCACAGTAAGAAAACAGCAGTGAACTCTCCTCTCCTCTCCCTAACCTTTCTTGTCCAACCTCTTGAACTCCCATCGCGCGCTAGCATCGACGCTCTCGGCATACTCGGAGAAGTTCATCTCCAAAGCATTCCTGAAGGCGTCACAGACCTCCTTGGTCATGGCTACTTTCCTTGCATAGCCGGCCTTGCAAGTTTTCCAGCCGAGCCTGTCCGGCAACGGCACTTCTTCGAAGTCGACAGAGGACGTAGAGGACGTGGAGGACATTGGTGATTCCGCCATATGTTGTGTGTATCGAGACTCTAGATCACTAGAATATGAAGGAAGCGACTGCTGCAGGAGAAGGGAGGAGGAGAAGGGCGGGAAGGAAACGAGATGCAGGAGGGGTGGGCAAGAAGCTTCAAGGAGCGAGCGAGGAAGCAGGAAGAGCCAATGGAGGAAAGGAGCAGATGAGGACGCGGTTGAAGGAGTGGGAAGGGAGGTGCTAAGGGTCATGGCGCAGAGCGATGGGGTATAGGGGGTAGGGTCCATTGGCAAGGAATGGACTTTAGTAGATTGGTGGGTGTTCACTGATAGTAAATGAGGGGTGGGGTGGTGATAAAACTTCGAAGGATGTAGCACGGGTGCTCACTTATGAGGGGGGGGGTAGGGTAGGAAAGAAATGTCTTGCAAGTTGATTGGATACGTTGGGGGTGGGTATAGAAGGAATTAAGTGAACTGACCATAAGGGGTAGATGCCACCCAGAATTTCATCCAATATTTGGAGCGTAGATATATAACTTACTAAATTTGAAATATCATCAGAATGTTCACGATTAGAACTTAACTATTCACCCACCCCTGTATGAGCCCCACCTAGGTTCGGTCAACCCGAATTGACCACCCCTACCTCTCCCGTATGTTTTGATTGCGGTCAACAACCGATGACCACCAGATATTAATAATACTAGTAAGCTTATCAATAACCATTATAAGTATAAATATTTATTGCCAAGGGCTGCTGCAAAATTCGTCCTTGAAAATGTTACAGAGATTTTGAAATTTCATGGAAAATATCGAAAAAAGGAACGAAAAAGAATGAGATTTAAATAGCCAAGTATCTTTTACGAACATACCAAGTATCATTTACGACCAGGTGGGGTGGGGTAGTCAAACAGTGGGAAGGTAGGGGAAACAAAGAGCAGGACCGGTGCTGACTGAAGATCACTAGGGGTCATGATGTTCAGTGGTAGTGTGCAAAGGCACCGGTTAGTATTGAAAGTGTCTTGGTTTTAAGAGATGTAGTACCCCATTTTTCGATTTGAAAGAAGGGGTGGTGATTTTGGTTGAGGGGTGTCAGGATTACCTCTATGCTAAAGAGTGGGTACGGATGAAGAAGAGGGGGTCCTCATTGGATCATGTTGATAATGAAGGGGGTAGTGTGCTCCGTGTAGTGTTAGAGGAGGGGTACTCCTGTAGTCTAGGGAGCTGTGTCAGCAAGGGAAGTAAAAACGGGGGTGGGTCCAACCGGTGAGCCTTTGACTTGCTGATTTTCACTGCAGGGCAATAATGATGGGAAAGGCATGGGGGTATAGGTGATGTATTTATCGAGTGGATCAATAACTAAATCGGCGATATATATGACCCTATAATTGATCCAAAGAGAGTTCGATCAGCAGGCTCGTGCCTTGGGCTCGATTTTTTCCACTGTGCCTGTCTACCTTTGTGTGGCAGGTACTCTTTGGTGAGCCTTGGGGGTCTTTCATTTCATAAGTGTGGCACTAAGTTCATATGGGTAGGTATAGAGAAGGGGCCCATGGCTCAGTTTACCCCTGAGTTGACTTCTTTGCCAGGCACAACTGCAGGAGAAGAGGGGCTGACATGCTCTTTGTATCATATGGGCTCACTTAAGAAATCTCTGTCCATTACCCCTTCCCTCCTATAACCGACCCCTTCCTATTTGTCAGTTCCGTGAGTCTGAAAGGGGTGCCCTCGGGCCTTCCGATCTCGGACTGCCCGACGCACGAATCATGGGGCTTTTCAAAAAGGCGTGTAGGACTCGAGGGGCTACACGCCAATTTCATCACTGAGAATACAGGAGCAGGTAGACGAAGAGGTAGTAGGAAAAGGGGGAGGGGAGGGGAGGGGAAGGGAGTGGCACAGCAAGGGTAAAAGTGTAGGGAGAAGAATGGATTCATCTATCGCCACGTTGCTTCAATGAGCAGTGGATTCACAACAAATTTCAGAAGATCCGATGTCATAACTTTCCGCTGTGGCTTGAAGTTGGAGGTGTCATTTGAGAGGTGAGGATGTACACAAGACAGAAGCAAGTCCTGAAAAGCCTTTCAAGTTTCGCAGCTCTTGTGCTAGAAATGCGGGAGCATCACCTTCCCTGATATTTCCACCTCCACCCCCATCTCAATCTCGTTCTCTGCCTGTCGGGGTCACCAGACTCAACAGCTCCAGTTCACCTGTGTTTGTGCCCTCCACAGGACGATCGTCTCCTAGCATGAAGAGCACGGAAGTTTCCTCACGCAGAGCTGATTCTCTGTGTTGTGGCTTGAGTTTCACCGCCAGATCCCTGGGGAGCCGGGCGGTCTTGACGACGAGGTCTATACCGGGCTGCACGGGAGCGGCCCCGAAGATCATGACAGGGGCCACGCTGACCTCATGGCCATCATTGGCCTGAGCGGAGGCGATCTTGAGCAGTGTCTCCCATGGGACTCCGCCCGCGGTCGTGTTGCTTACAGAAGATCTGCAGGGCACGCACGAACGGGTGCTGGCAGGAGTAGATTAGAGGGGCTGTATGTTGCCTCTCACTCAGCTTGCACAGGCGCGTGGTCATATTTTGCCGGTATGAAATGCTTTATGATTTATACACTCGATACACCGTCTGTCTTGTCCTCGGCGGATGACGGGCTCATTTCCGAGTGCTTCCTCTTCGTTGCCGTTTATATGCCCGCGCGGCCGAGTCTGTTTTTCGGTCAGTAATCATACGGTAGACGATGGAGTCCGAGAGCAGCTTGACACTGCCAAGATTCCCGGAGAGATGGCAGGTGTCGGGGTAGCTATCGGAGAAGCCCTGGCTCCATGCGAGCGCCTTGGTCTTGAAATCCTTCCAGTTGGTGTTGGATAGGGCAGAGCAGTCGGAGGGGAGCCTCTCTGACATGCTCTCACTGCGAATTTTGTTCTCTACCTTGCCCAGCACTGTCTCCATCTGGTCTCTCGAAGATAGCGGAAAGATAATCGATCTCTTGTCACTCAAGGCTTCCGAGCCCAACAACGTTTCGTGCAAGTCGTCTGGGATCATGTTCAAGGCTTCCGAGCCCAACAACTTTTCGTGCAAGTCGTCTGGGATCATGTCGGCCAAAAGAAGGCAGGTGTCGGGGTAGCTATCGGAGAAGCCCTGGCTCCATGCGAGCTCGTCTCCCGAAGATAGCGGAAAGATAATCGATCTCTCATCACTCAAGGCTTCCGAGCCCAACAACTTTTCGTTCCAGTCGTCTGGGGTCGAGTCTTCGATCCTTGAGCCCATGTTGTTCAAGCTCATGAGTTGTCACCTGCGAGTACGGTTTAGTCTGCATATAGTATCACAGTGTGTCACGGCACGGTGATGGCAAAATGAGCTATAAAACACTGTGACACGCACACAGTGCCGCTTGCAAGCAACAAGAAGGCACCAAGAAGCAAGAGACTTGTCAAGTGAGTGATGATGACACATTGATGGTTCTGGGGCGGGCTCAGCGATAGGGTTGCGGACTCCGGAAGGCTCCCTGAAAGTGACGGTTGCCGCGGCCGGGCAGTGCGGACTCGGGTATACCGTCAATCATACGGAGGGGCAGTATGGAGTTCCGGAGTCAGGATGTGGGTTATCATAGTAAACCTGAGGCGTCCGTAACCGTGGGTGGTCTGCCTGGGCCTGGACCTTTCTCCCTGGCCGCCTTCGCTTATAAAGAGTGTGACTGAGTTGCCCGGGGGATCCGAGGACCCCCGACGGCCTCAGCCTGTACTGTACTACCGTACCCGCCCTATACGCTTCTACCCCTGCTTTACCCCGTATGAACAAGGGTAGGGGTATCTTTTTAGGAGGGAGTGGGTGAGTTTGCATGGAAATCGCAATGGCAGCATGGTGGCGACCAGGGTTGAGGATGATGAATTCAGCCTGTGCAATGATGACAATCACGAAACCATCCTGTCAGAGAATGAAAGTTGTCAGATCTATATCATCGGATGTCAATCATTTGGATGTCATCGTTGCAGTGTTTGATGTTTCTACAATTCGTTTTCTCTTTTTTCGACTCGCCACGCAATCCCCGCAGCCGGGGCATGTTACTGGTGAACTCTCCATGATATTCTACTGACTCATCACACAATCGTTCTATGGTGTTGCTCTATGTGTTATTTCTGGTTCCTCGTCATCACTTTTTGTTCCATCCTGTACATCGAAAACTTCACGCTAGTGCGTTTTGCTGAGAACAATTCGCTTGTTCGAAAGCTCGCTTCTTCGAATGCTCATAGCATGTACACAAGACAGAAGCAAGTCCTCAAAAGCCTTTCGCAGCTCTTGTGCTAGAAATGCGGGAGCATCACCTTCCCTGATATTTCCACCTCCACCCCCATCTCAATCTCGTTCTCTGCCTGTCGGGGTCACCAGACTCAACAGCTCCAGTTCACCTGTGTTTGTGCCCTCCACAGGACGATCGTCTCCTAGCATGAAGAGCACGGAAGTTTCCTCACGCAGAGCTGATTCTCTGCGTTGTGGCTTGAGTTTCACCGCCAGATCTCTGGGAAGCGGGGCGGTCTTGACGACGAGGTCTATACCGGGCTGCACGGGAGCGGCCTCGAAGTTCATGACAGGGGCCACGCTGACCTCATGGCCATCATGGCCTGAGCAGAGGCGATCTTGAGCAGTGTCTCCCATGGGACTCCGCCCGCGGTCGTGTGGATGACCTGGTTGACGGGAGGGCAGGTCCCCCGCCAGGACGAACATGTCCATGCACACCTTCATCGCGGGGTAGGAAGAATGCCCATTCGGATCGATGCGATTGCGTTGTCGCTGATGGGGAAATCCTCATCGTTTTGCTTACAGAAGATCTGCAGGGCACGCACGAACGGGTGCTGGCAGGAGTAGATTAGAGGGGCTGTATGTTGCCTCTCACTCTGCTTGCACAGGCGCGTGGTCATATTTTGCCGGTATGAAATGCTTTATGATTTATACAGTCGATACACCGTCTGTCTTGTCCTCGGCGGATGACGGGCTCATTTCCGAGTACTTTCTCTTCGTTGCCGTTTATACGCCCGCGCGGCCGAGTCGGGCAGGTCGGCCAAGTTTTGCTTGTGTATCTCGTATTAAAAGACGATCATCCGATGGAGTCCGATAGCAGCTTGACACTGCCAAGATTCCCGGAAAGATGGCAGGTGTCGGGGTAGCTATCGGAGAAGCCCTGGCTCCATGCGAGTGCCTTGGTCTTGAAATCCTTCCAGTTGGTGTTGGATAGGACAGAGCAGTCGGAGGGGAGCCTCTCTGACATGCTCTCACTGCGAATTTTGTTCTCTACCTTGCCCAGCACTGTCTCCATCTGGTCTCTCGAAGCTAGCGGAAAGATAATCGATCTCTCCGACTCGTCACTCAAGGCTCCAAGCCCGCCCCACAGAACAACTTTTGAGAGTCGCCCCCGGACAGTCGTCCGAGTCTCCGAGCCCGAGCCGAGTCTGCGGCGGGGCTGTGCGATCTTGTCCGGCCAATAGTTGGGATCGAGTCTTCGACCCTTGATCGGACGTGGCGGCGGCGCCACTGATCATCCGTTCAAGTGTTCAAGCAGCCCGCCGCCGGGCACACTGCCCTGAGGCGGCCGCTGAGGGCCCGGCCTCAGGGCCTCACCGCGGCCGGTCACCGTTGCCACTCAGGTCAGTTCAACGCCGGGTTACTAGCCTACTAGGCGGCTAGTACGGTAGGCTCACGGCGTTGCCGGGCCCGGCGCTCGGCCGGCACGCCCGTCGTGACCGTACCGGGGTCTCAACTTCCGGGCCGCGCCCTGAGTTGATTGCGAGTCACTGAGTGGCTAGTAACCGGGCCGCGGCCGTTTGACGAGCACTGCGCATCGGAGTGTTCACGCCGGGGGGACTGCCGCCGGGGCGCGGCCCGTCGCCGGGCCGGCCGGGACGGTTGCCAACTTTGAAGTTGGCATACCGCCGCCGGGCACCGGTGACCGGGCGGCGGCGTGCCACCGTCACGGCCGTCACTGCCGTCACAGTGCGGTGGCCCGGGCCCGGTGACCGCTCACGGTCCCGGCCCCGCCGGCCGCCGGCTCAGTCCCGACTCCGAGTCACTGGCCGCAGTGGGCCAGTGGATCATCCGATCGGTCGGATATCCGGTACTATAACTCCTGCAAGCCCGAGCCCGTGGCGGCATCCGTGCCTCGAAGTTCACCGTGCCACCGGCACGGTGAACTTCGGAACGTAGGCTCGCCCGGGCTCCTGCAGTACCATCAACCCCCCCCATCTCCCTCCCCCCCCGCCCCCCCGTCACGGACTCGCCGGTACGTTCCCCCCCCACCGTACTAGTACCGGTCATGGGCACTCATTTGTTTTGACTCGTTTTGTTGCCGGGTAGGGTCGTCTTGGCTCCATGGCGTGACTGTCGGTACTTTTACAAGACAGTCACGGAATCCGAGTCAGAGTTTTACTACTCAATGTTGTGACAGGGGTCCATTTGATGGAAAAGAGGGGGTAGTCAGGTCTGGCACACTGACAGACAGTCGGTAGTTTTCAATCAGTCGGGGGCAATGAGGGGTAGTCGTTGATTGATATACGAAGAGGTAGGGTGAGTTTGAACACCTATGGAGGGGTGATCTGAACACCAAGCCCCTGCCAGGGGTAGGTAGGTTCAAGGAATAAACTCTGATTGCGAAAAGCTTGGTTTTGGTTCACAGTCATGTCCACCAAGGAGTAAAGTACCTTGATCCGAACGAATCATTGTGTTTTCAAAATGTTTTATTCGAAAACTACAATTTACTACTGTTTTAATAGAACACGTAACAATGACTGCCGTGAAGCGATGTGGTTTTGAGACCCATCCTAACGTACAGGTCGAGATATGCGTCCTTTGCTCCTTGCCATGTCAATGTCCGACTATATCATACTACCCCTACCCCCCTTGATTCATCTTTCGTGTAACCCACCCGTACCTTAATCATGTTTGAACCCTCGATATGCCCTGGAACAAATTTAGAGATTTCACCCCTACCCCCTCATTTCGACCTCTGACCCAAAGATACATAGAGGGCAGAGGGTGGGGGTGTAGACGGGAATCAGGGGCATCGCAAGGGGGTGACAAAAACCAGGAGCAAGAGCGCGGTAGAACATCGACATGCTGCAGGCTGCCAAGCAACGCTTCCTCTCCTTCCGTCGGTCCCAGACCTCTCCCTCTCCCCTTCTCATCTCCTCCAATCCTCCCTCCTCCTCCCATGCCTCCTATCATCCAGCAGAACCTTGCGAGATCTCCGAGGCTTCCGGGTGTGACTTGAGTTACGACCGACTTATGCCAGCCGCGCCCCAAGGGAGCATGCTGCGGAGAAGACATGGCTTCCGAGCGAACTTCCAGGAGGAGTTCGAGAAGCTTGATGCCAATGGTGACGATGACCGCTGCGTGTGGATGTAGGGCTGACGCAAGCATGCAGGGGACGGGTTCCTGACGCTGGAGGAGCTGGCGGCAGGGCTGAATCATCACATGGGGGAGGCAGAGCTCATCGCTCTGTTCAACAAGCTGGACACGAACAAGGACGGGAGGATCTCTCTCGACGAGTACGTCATGGGCAGCGTGAACAACTGCAGAGAGCACGCCTCGAGGGTTCAGGACGGCGTGACGGAAAGTATCAACAACCTGGAGCACGTTCTAGACGATTTGCGCAAGGACAAGACGTTGGACAGCTTGTCCAAGCTGATCACAGATTCGATCGAGAAGAGAAACAAGGCGGTGTGGAAGGAGAAGAAGGGGATCTACCGGAAGATGCCCTACGACGAGTTCAAGAACCTTTTGTTCTCCAAGTTCGATGCCCGAGACGCGAGCAGGAGCGGAGGCATCAACGAGGACAGGGCGCTTGTCTTGTTCCAGGACCTCGGCAAGACTTTCTCCAAGCCCGACTTCCGCGTGTTTCTCAGCAGCAACGACGTGAACCACGAGGAGGACATCTCTCGCGAGCAAGTGCTAAAGCTGATGCTCGAACTGCTCAAGGAAAAGGCCAAGTTCTCCAGCTCCGTTCGCCGACTCATGGTGCTGTCCCAGCCCAAGAAGTCTCCAGCAGGACGAAGCGTCGAGGACTACCTGCAGCAGCAGGTGGAGGAGATCAAGGACGCGGGCAAGAAGGCCAAGTTGTGGAAGAAGAACGCTCTCAAGGCAAGGTCGTTCGGGGCCAAGTCAAACAAGCTCGCAGCTGCTCAGCCCGTCCTGCGTCGAGCTGCTTCAGCTGATCAGGCCAACTACTTCCAGTGGGAGTTCAAGAGGCTGGACACGAATGGTGTGAACTTCTGCTCCCCTTTCACCTGCTCCTGCTCCTGCTCCTGCTCCTGCTCCTGCTCCTACTTCCCTGAGGCTCCTGAATATGTGGTGTTTTCTCTGATGTTGAGCTCCAGGGGATGGCGTCCTAACGGCCGAAGAGCTCTTTGACGGGCTCAAGCATCGGCTCGGGCAGGATGAACTTTCCGAGCTCTTCGACAACATTGTAAGTTGATGGTGCTGCAGGGAGGGCGAGGGAGAACATGGCGAGGGGGAGCGAGGGAAGGCGAAGGAGGAGCAACTGACTGTCTTGACAGGATGTGAATGGAGATGGTCTGATCAGCCAAGATGAATATGTGGAAGCAAGGAAGACAATGCAGGCATTCCAGAAGCTGTTCTAAGCCATGAGTGATGATGTAGAATATCGTGATGAGGTTGTACATAAACAGCGTGTGGTCGAGAATTGTATGCTTGTTCTCTGGGATAAAGAGGACTAAACAAGGGAGGCGAGGAGGAAGAGGGAGGGGGGCGAGGGGACGAGGAAGAAGACAAACGGAAGAGATTCAGGCAAGGTGAAAGTTTTCTCAAGAGTTTGCACTGTCTGTCTGTTGAGCAACCTGCATGGCTGTCATGTTGAGAAATCTGGTTCAGAGGATGGAAGGAGGCAGGAAGAAAGGAGGGGCAGGAAAAAGGAGGGAGGACGAAGAAAGATTCAAGAGGAGGAGAAAGGAGGACGAGAGGAGCAAACAAAAGGCGAGGTTGAAGAAAAAGCCTCACAGCGTCTGCTTGCGCCAAGGGAACATCATCTTTTTCTTCTCTTTTCTCTAATTGCTGCTAAAACATTGCTTGTTACATGGAAGGAGGAGGATGAACATACCTGGTCAGGTTTGCGATCTTGCGGCGCATGAGAGCGAAGAAGAAGAGTTCCCATGCAGAGGTTGAGGATGCAAAACATGAAGAGAGACCTGAAGAACACGGTTGAGGACGGCAAGATATTGATGGAAGAGAAGGAGAAAAGATTGAATTGTCAAGACCGACGATTAACAGGAGTTTGTTGATGTGATTGTGATGGTCGCGGTAGTGCTAAAGGTTCTGGTTGTAGAGAACAGGCAGCAGAGGGAGATGAGGAAAACAGAGGAGGAGGGGAAAAAGGTGGAGGTAGTCCTTTCAGTTGTTGAGGATGAGGAGAAGAATGAGGAGGAGAAGGATAAGGACGAGGAGGAGGAGGAGGAGGAGGAGGAGGAGGAGGACGACGACGAGGAGGAGGAGGAGGAGGAGGAGGAGGAAGAGGAAGAGGAAGAGGAGGATGGAGGAGGAGGAGG